GCCCATTCCCTCTATTCTGATAGGCTGTTGCCAAGGGTCGATTTATCTGCCCAGGCTGATACTGTTTTCTGAGAAGTCAGGACTTTCTGATGGGGGAAATCGAAACTTAGGCCTGTTCAGTTTCGGTCTTAAAGTGGAGCCTGTCATGGCACCATTTCAAACTTACAGTAATAGCTACTGAATGACTAAGTGGTGACTTTATATTTTAAACTAAAAAAGAAATTATAATTTATCCATTTTTCTTGTGTTATTTCAATTGAATCACAGTGAGATACACAGCTACAATGATGTTAATGATTAGTTTCCATCAGACGATGTTCTAACACCCTTCTCCTCACCTGCGCACTTTCCCACTACCAATATCCTCAGTTTCCCTTCAGTCCACCGCCCCTACAGCCTGTCTGTATGGAAGACAGTTCTCTCTTCCTCACTCTTATTTTCCTTTAAGGACTGTGCTCTTGCAATATTGTTAATGAAAGGGTATCATACATATCACCTTACCTCCTTTCTCCTTTCTCCTTTCAGCACGCAGTTTTTGTCCTGAGTGATCATCTTCAACTATCATTGTAATATGGTCCCTTCGCTTTCCTTACTGCATTCCTCCTCCCCCTTTGTGGCTAGCTTTCTTTTTTTAAAGTTAATATTATTATTACTATTTATTTTATTTTATTTTATTTTTTGGGGTCACACCCAGCAATGCACAGGGGTTACTCCTGGCTCTGCACTCAGGAATTACTCCTGGCGGTGCTCAGGGGACCATATGGGATGCTGGGAATCGAATCCGGGTTGGCCGCGCGCAAGGCAAACGCCCTATCCGCTGTGCTATCAATCCAGCCCCTTTTGTGGCTAGCTTTCTACCATGGAACAGTCCTCCTGCCTCTTGTTTCAACAGTATTTTGGTTCTCACACATTACGGGTTTTGTTGTTGCTGTTGTTGTTGTTGTTGTTATTGTTGTTAGTTGGTCTAGTCCCTTTTAGAGAGCCCGGCAATCTACCTAGAGTATCCTGCCCGCATAACAGAGCCTGGCAAGCTCCCTGTGGCACATTCAATATGCCAAAAACAGTAACAAGTCTCACGATAGAGACATTACTGGTGCCCACTTGAACAAACTGATGAACAACAGGAGGACAGTGCAACAGTACTGCAGTGCTAGTTTGTTTAATGCCCTGCAAATGAGTGCAGTTATTCTGTCTGTCTGTCTGTCTGTCTGTCTGTCTGTCTGTCTCTCTCTCTCTCCCAGAATCATTTCACTCAGCATGATACATTTCTTTTTGAATCATGCATAAACAAATTCATGACTTCATTTTTCCTAGCACCTCTGTACTGTTCCATTGTGCAGATGTACCACAGTTTTCAATGAAACATTCCTGTTTAATTCCAAAGTATCTGATACCTGTCTAAATAAAATTTTGAATTAGAATGTTTTTTACCCATTTTATTTGTGTTACTTAAAATATACTGCTTTATTTTATTTTATTATTTCATCATTGGTCTGCAATGCTACAGAACTTCAGAAACACAACTTAACTCAAGTGTGCCACTTAAATAATATTTATGTTTAAAATACTATCTTCTCGTACTGAGATATAGTACAGGAGTTACAGCACTTGTTTTGCATGCTGCCTACCAATCCCTGGAACGACAATACAATCCCATAAAAGTTGTATACTTGTTATATTTAAGTCAATGATCCATATTTGATTTTTATATGCAATGTTTAGTTAATTTTTGTTATCACAATTCTGTTTTATTTTATATACATACATGAATTTTTTTCTTTCTCTTATTGTTTACTTCTATTTTCACAAGAATAAGTTTATATCTCTGTAGAACATACCAAACCCATTGTCAAGATCTCTTTCATTGTGGTATTAAAAGAGAACATAGTAGGAACCGGAGCAATAGTACAGAGGATAGGGCACTTGCCTTGAACTTGACTGAAACTGTTTCCATTCCCAGTACCCCATATGTCCCCATGAGCCCCTCCAGGACTGATTGTTGAGTGAAGAGTTAGGAGCAAACTCTGAGCACCCACTGGCAGATATTTTCCAAGATATAACCCCCTCCCCCCACAAAACTCAATAACAAAAACAGCTCCATCAAAAATATTGAGAGGAATTTAACAGACACTTCCATAAAAAATGATATACAGATACTCAATAAGCATATGATAACAGATCTCTGATTATATGGGAAGTGCAAATCAAAATGACAGTGAGATATCACTTCATACTATTAAAAATGGCCTATTTGAAAGATGAAGTCATGAAATTTGCTTATAAGTGAACAGTCATGGAGAGTATCATGCTAAGTGAAATGAGTCAGAAAGAGAGGGGCAGACATAGAATGACTGCACTCATTTGTGGAATATAAAATAACATAATATGAGACTGACAACCAAGGACAGTAGAGACAAGAGCTAGGAATATTGCTCCATAGTTGTAAATTTGTCTAATGAGCTGGAGAAGAAGGCAGCTGGAATAGAGAAGGGATCACTAAGTCAACAACGGTTGGAGGGATTGCTCGGGATGGAAGATGTGTACTGAAAGTAGATAAAGGACCAAACGTGATAGCCTTTCAGTATCTATGTTGAAAACCATATTGCCCAGAAGTAGAGAGAGAGTATGGGGGAAATATGGGAGTAATACTAGAGGAATAGAGGCAGAGGGAAGTTTAGGATGCAGGGAGGATACTAAGGGCATTGGTGGTAGAAAATGTGCACTGGTGGAGGGATGGGTGTTCGATCATTATATGACTGAACTCAAACATGAAAGCTTTGTAACTGTATCTCACAGAGATTGAGTTTAAAAAAATAAATCAATTTTTTAAAAAAGAATGGCCTAGTTGAAAAAGTCTGTAAATAAGTACTTTCAGGGTGTGGTAAAAAGGAGCTATCATTCACATTTGGTGGGTTCGTTGTCTAGTTTAGCTTTATGAAAAACAGTATGAATATGTCTCAAAAATGAACAACAGAACTTTCATATGACATAGTGATTATGCCCCTTATCCCACTGTCAAAAACAGAAAAAAATGTGCTTGAAAAGAAATATTGTACACTGATATCCATCAAAGCTCAATTCTGTATAAGTAAGCACTATTATGTGTGAATAAGGAATAGCTAGAAACAAAACAAATGCTTAAGAGTATAAAGTGGATAAAGTTGTGGTATATGTACACAATGGATTACTAATCAGCAATCAGAAAAGAAAGTCTTGAACTTTTCTGCAACTTGGAAAGGACTGGAGGGTATCATAAGATAGTGGGAGAAGGCTAAGCACTTGATGATCTCATTAACATGTTATCTACAGAGAAAAAAAAGCCAGAGAACAGCATGTAAGTGAATCTTTGGCCTCTGACAACAGAACTGAGGTTACCAAGCAGAAGGGGAGGCAGAAAAGAAGCCGGCAGCCTAAAAGTGATGTAAGGAATTGAGGGAAGGATTTGGGTTCTTTGGTGATCTTGGAATTACAGTAATTTTGTACTCCAAAATAATAAACATTAATACTATCATAAATCATGTTAAATAAAAGTAAAAGATAAACCTGAGAGTAAATCCATATAATGTGGTCAATGATGATATTTGAAAGGATAATGCTTATTTCTAGGCACCTTTTAAATCTCATTGCCTTTATTTTATTTTCCTGTTTATTGTACCTCTTAGAAAAATGTAACATTTATTTTTTTAATAGGTAGGACCATTTGACTTCAACTTTACAAACTATAGAGCTCCCATTTGCAGGTGAGTCTGCAACAAGTGAAATTACTTAATGCCTTCTTAGTGGCTAGTCATTAAGAATCCTGCCTTTAGGAAAAATAAATAGATAAACCTCTTTTACAGATGTGATCACAATATAGTGATCTAGAAGTGGGGGTACAAACTTTGGTGAACGAATCTCTCTAGGCTCATCACAAGCTAAGTAGTGATACCTATGACTATATGTAATACCTATTTCCTTTAAACAAACACACAAATCAATCTTTTGACCTATATTTGATCCCCAGTGCCAAATATGGTCCTGTGAGTACAGCCAGGAGTGATCCCTAAGCACAGAATAAAGATCAGACCTGGGCACAAACACAAAAACAAAACAAAAAGCTAAATACTTTGTGCTGGAGATCAATTGTAAAATGTCCTATGTGATAGAAATATTTTGGTAAATGGCTTTGCGCATTAAGTATTTAGTAGCATCCCTGGCCTCTGCTATGTGATGTAGCTGCCTCTTTTCTCCCATTTATGAAAACCTGAACATCTCCAGCTGTTGTGTAACGTACCTTGTGGGGAAAATCACCCACTGCCACTCCCATCTTCACTCTCTAACCCTTTTAATCATTCTCTCTCCCTTCTCATTTTCAGAGCCAGCTGAAGTAATTATGACCATCACTTGAAAAAAAAAGACTGCAAATAGAATATAGTAGGTAGTGCAAAGAAGGATCACACAACAATCACTGGGATGGCTTTTTGTGTTTATTATGATCACTGACAAACAAAAATACAGAAGTAGCATGCTATTTATATAGTAAATTCATACACATCTTAAGGTCTGTTAATTTAGGCCTCAATCCAAAGTGTCACCAGGTGTATTGGGAGCAGCAAGCAGGGTGGGGTGGGGCCACTTATTATGGTCAGGAGAGAGAACACATAGGGTTCCATCCACAGGCTCTTCCACACAAAACAGCTAACTAAATGGTGAAATCCAATCTAATGCTTTATTGTCTAATGCATCACATACAACATAAATAGGAAGCATAAATCCAGTATTGACATTTGTGCTGTAGCTTAACCGTCACATTTATTACTACTTATCAGTAAAAGTGTGTGTTCTAGCAAATTAGTTTCTATCATTTAAATAATGAGAGGTAAAGTCCAACAGGAATTATCAGTAGGGGACTTCTTAATACACAGTGACTGGAAGAAAATATGAATGGAGAGAAAGAGACAGTTTACTTTTAGACAAGATGTAAATAACATGATTTTACATGCAGTAGAATCAGAATCAGATTTTTGGGGTGCTTTCTCACTCTTCTCAAATTGGAATTTAGACCAGTAAATTATGTAACTCCCATAAGGTAGTCTTATTGCACATTAGTTAAGGCAACTATTGCTATGGTAACTGATTTTTCTCCTTTACTGCTTTCAACACTGCATTCCACTTGCTATTCCTTTGTTCTAACTGCTCCTTTTTAAACCTGTCTTGAAAAGAATTATGGTTATCATCATCCTCTGTCTCTGAGATGATTTCCATCTTCTGAATGATGAGCTTAATTAGATCATGCTGTTTTTCCACGAGAGATGTAAGATCTTTCAGCCTAGGAGGACATAAGAGATTAATTTAATAATTTTCAGTGAAGCCATTTAGCCCTCTGTGTGCACGAAGGCTGAGGTACTAAAAACATTCGACATCATGAACTGTGCTTAGGTTATTACCTAACAGTAGTCATAATGCTCCTAATAAACATATATTTTTAAAGATCTAGTCATTTCCCTATGGTTGCCCTGTTATCCTATCATGACTAATTTATTTTTATTTTATCTTAAAGATTAAAGACTGTGCACAGAAAGGTTAAGTGGCTCTTCTAAGGTAATATTTAGAAATTAAATGTTGAGTGGTTGAGAAGAGCATAAAATGTAGTTGAGGGCTTGGATGCTGACAATTGAGCCCTTAAGCCCTCATGCAGAATGACTGCACCTTACATAGCTTCCCCAAGGGTTCCTCAAAAATCTCCAAGCTTTTGATGCATGAATTCATATGGCTTGTGAAGAATATAGTATAAGATATACAATAGTAAACTGGCTGATGAATAACTGCAAATAAATTTGATGCTAAATGTCTCAAAATTCTCAACATTCTAACAGTATTATTCAACTAGAGCAGTACTTAATATAGACATCGATAAACAAAATTATGCATTATAACATTGTACTATGTCTAGTTATTTACTAGTTTTAAGTGTCTTAGGCTTGGAAATAGAGCTCCAGGGCTGGAGTATATGCTTTCCATGCAGGAATCCGTATATGATTCTGGACAAAGCATCCTTTCCTGAGCACTGCTTGGAATGACCCAAAAAGGAAAAATGTAAGTTTTAAGTTGATCAAATATTGATAAATGAAAAATTACAAACCTGTATTTCTGCTTCAATATTTCTGTTTCTAAAGCTGTGTCAACATTTGGTATTTCTAGTCTTGCTTCAGGGGCACAAAAGAGATGGCGAAATAAACACTATGGGAAAAAAAAGATTGTTACTTAAGTTGAACTTAATTTAGGAATTGTACATGAATATATACTGCAATAAGTTGTAAAACTGTTCTAACACATATCCTGGCCCCAAAGAGCTCAGTCTGTGAGAGAAATAATCATGCAAAGAGATATACAATAAATATAATATAATAGAGGAAAGTACAAGTTGTACAATTAATATAGGAGACACTGTGAACTGATGCTGATGACCCTGCTTCGATCCCCAGCACAGCATAAATTAGTTCCCTGAGCATCACCAGGAGTTATCCCTGAGCACAGGGCCAGGAGTAAGTCCTGAGCACAGATATATGTGACCACCCTTTTGTCCCCTAAATCAAAAAAAAAAATAAACTATAACCTGAAGTGGTAGATTATTTATAAATAAATTTAACAAAAATTATAGTATATTTTCTTATCAAAATATTCCACCAAAATGGTGGTATCCACACGTGTTAAGAGTTGCTAATTCTGGGGCTGGAGCAATAGCACATTGGGTAGGGCATTTGCTTTGCTCACAGCCAACCCAGGTTCAATTCCCAGCATACCATATGGTCCCCAGAGCACCACCAGGAGTAATTTCTGAGTACAGAGCCAGAGCCAGGAGTAACTCCTGAGCATAGCTGGGTTTGACCCAAAAAGGAAAAAAAAAGAGTTGCTCATTCTTTAAAATTGCTTTGTTCCTGGGGAGGATGGGGGGTGGGAGGGATACTGGGATCCGTGGTGCTGGGAAATGGGCACTGGTGGAGGGATGGGTATTTGATCATTGTATAATTGAAACCCAAACACAAAAATTTGTAAGTCTGCAACTATACCACATGATGTCTCACTAATAAAAATTTTTTAAAAAATTGCTTTGTTCCACACATGAACTCATATGGTAAGTATCTGAGACATTAATTTTTTTTAAAATATGTATTCTGTTTTACACCATTGGTTAACTAGAAAGAAGAGCAGGTGGAAAATGATGACAAATAAGATGATTCTAGTGATGGGAAAGTGCTCTTCCACAGAAACCACCAGGAAGTCAAATGGATCAAACAAGGAATTGATGGGATAGAAGGGACCTGGAAAAAGGAGGAGAAATTTCCAGGATGACTGTTGCACAGAAAGTGAAAGGTAATAAAACTATTTGAAATAAACATGTGGAGAATAATGGGGCCTCCCTATTCTTTCCCTGTAGGGGACATAGGGAATAGAACCTGGAAGGAGTGAAGGTCATGACTGTTAACATGAACTTGTTTTGTACAGACTGAATTTGATATACTTTTGAAACACACCAGTGGAGATACTAAGTAGACAGTTTCAGAAGCCTGGAACTCAAAGGAAAGGATAGACTAGAGAAATCAATTGTGTTTACAGTATTGCAGACTTGGGTATAAGGAACACTGGAGAAGGAAGTCGTCTGACGTCAGAACCAAATCTAAGCTAACAAAGATTATTTAGTTTGTTTTATAACTGCTACACAATGGAATATTGAACTATAAAGAACTCAGAAAAATATTTATAGAAATCAAATATGATAAAGGTAACATCTAGTATTTCTGACTTTTAGAGCAGTTCTCTGTTACAATATCAGATCAGTGGGTTTGCTTAGTCTTTAACATTTGGTATATTTTTCATACTTACCACGGGTAGGGCGTTTGTCTTGCACGCAGTCGACAAGGCTGAACAGGGTTTGATTCCTACGCCCCTCTCAGAGAGCCCAGCAAGCTACCAAGAGTATCTCCCCTCACAGCAAAGCCCGGCAAGCTACTCGTGGCATATTCGATATGCCAAACACAGTAACAACAAGTCTTACAATGGAGACGTTACTGGGCCCGCTCGAGCAAATCGATGAACAACGGGAGGACAGTGCTACAGTGCTACAGTGCTACCATTTACCTATGTATAGGTACATGTGTATTATATATGCACAGGCACATGTAGAATCACATATATGTGCATCAATGTAACAGGAAATAAAATTAATATTTACTTGTATTCAAAAATGATACTTGAAAAGTATGCTAGTCTCCCCACCCATCTGTCACAGAGCTACATACATATTTTACGAAGATGCTGCAGACGAGCCTATAGGAAGAAGAGAGTAAATGTCTTTCTTCCCACTGCTTATTCCTTTCACACACTGGGTTAATTCCATGCTTTGTAGAAATGCACAATTATCTCTGACACACAGATCATACCCAAAGTCTATAAAAGGACAACCTTAGGGTTAATGCAATGAATTCATCCTAAGCAGCATCACCACATTATCTATGTTGAAATTTGTTGCATATACTTACAAAGAGTCCTCGACCATATCTGGGTCTATTGGGGTATACAATGACGGATTTCTGATCTACCTTGTGTAGAAACCAAAGTGGCAGCTTCTTCTCCAAGTTGGTATGAAGTTCCACCTAAAGTGTATTTTAGATTTATGAATGAGAATCATTGATTAGCACTTGAAATTGTTTACTGAATCAAAGTAATCATTAGTCCAACAAACTGAACACTGACTCATATTTGGGCAGAAAATTTATTTAGTCCATTCTCTTAAGGTTTATCACATTCAGAGTGTACTTCAATAGAAAATATGGACGGTTATAAATGTTTTCTTAGCACAGGAGAAAAGGGAATGCTTCAGTGGACGGAGAAAAACAATGGCAAGAAATGAAAGAACAAAACCAACATGTCTAAGAGTTTATGATAAATGTTTCACTCTGTAAAATTATATGAAAATTATGACCATAAAGTTCTTAAATATATTTTTATTTAGAAATATAACATTGGTTTCACGTTTTTATTTTCAAAATAAAAACAATGTTTTTATTTTGAGTTTCTAAGTGTAAAGAGTTGCTTAAAAACAATTCAGGGGGAAATAAAAAAATAGCTTCCTGATGTATTTTAGTCCATGTTCTTCATCCATAAAAAAGGACAGATAACATGGGGGTGTTTGTTGCTTATAGTATTATTATATTTATTTTGTTTGGTACTTGGAGTCCTATGCTCTATCTTATGGATATGGTCAATTGCTATTCTCCCTCCTTCCAATAATTCCCTACAAAACCAAGATAATAACGTTTCAAAAACTACCTCATCTCATCCCATTATTTAGAAGGAAGGGTTTATGATTTCTGCTCACGAACAAAAATAACCTGAAGCAGTTGATTGTCCCTTCTTTTAAAAGCTAAGGCTTTCTTTGCTATTTTTGAACAAAGTCTTCCAACGTCTGGGGTAGTCATCCTACCTCCAGAAAACCATCAGACCTGGGGACCTGCCACGCCTCTTTTTCCATGTCTTCTTCCTCTGTTTCAGCAAATTTTACATTAATTATGTAGAAAACATGAAAATTATGTCACAAGGAATAAATTTCATAAATGTAGTAGTCAGCACTTCAGTTTAATGCACACTGTGAGAAATTGGTATTCCTATGCCCAGAACAGTACAAATAAATTCCTTCCAGAAGTTGGGTGCTGATAGTGCATCTCAGACCTCTGATGATCTTAATTCAGCAGCTAGTACATTGGCTGACATAAAAAAGAAACTTAGAGAATTTACCCATTTTTCTTTTATGTTTTTGTTTTTTGGGCCACATCTGGTGATACTCAGGGGCAACTCCTGGCCCTGTACTCAGAAATGACTCCTGATGGTGCTTGGGGGAGCATCTGAGATGCTTTGTTGCCACAGCTAGGCAAATGTCCTACCCACTATACTATTTCTCTGGACCCCATAATTTCTCCATTTTTCTTCCCAAATTATACAAGGATAATTTGTTTACGACAACCTCAGATAAACCAAAGAATTTGCATGCAAGGTACCCCTGGACCCTTCTCAGTACTATAGTCCCAGAAATCAGTGACTTTTCTTTGTGAATGATTAAGATGCTGCTAATATCAAAAGTCTTTCAATACAAACTCATTACCTGCATAGCAATCCTCTTCAGCAATGCATGTTTCTGGACCTCAGCAATGTCACCAACTGCCAAACCAATCTGCAATTTAACAGCACAGCATTAAATCACTATTGAGTCATATGTCTCACTTTAAAAATGTGCTCATGAACACCCTCTGGCTACAGCAGGGGAGTGAGCACGTGATTTATAGTAATAAAACCCGAACAACACTTTGCTGATATGCAAAATATGCAAATATGCACATATAGAATATGTATAGAATATGCAAATATGCAGACAAGTGCAAGACCTTTGTAATAGTGATGGCCACAATGGCGGGTCTAGTAATCATAGGATGATCATAAAAACTGTAGAAATCTACTTCTTCTGAAATTCACATTCATTAAAAAATACATTTAAGTTTTGGATTGAACAGCAGAAATGCAGCATCATACGGAGTGATGTAGTCAAGCAACATGTGTGCAAACTCCAGGAGTCTAGCATTTAACGTAAACAAGAGTAATCTGACAACATGGAAAAGTTAAAGCACTCAAGATAAGACATTTTTGGGATGAAGGAATTTACTTCTTCTACATGTTTGGCAGGATAATGTATACTTTGATGGTGAGTGAAGCTCTGGGAAATGGACCCAAATGGAATCAGTTTTAAGTTCCTTGTTCTTTCCTTACTGGTACCTGACTATGATTGAGGCAGCATTTTGTATACTATAGCAGAGAGTAAAAGCCTGTGCCTATTCTCAAGGACCTTGAAGCCCAGTGAACTCCATCAGGAAATGGCTCCAGGACACCACTGCATGACCAGAGCAGAACACTTAGTAGATACTCAAAACAGCTTATGGTGAATAAACTATGAGAAGATACATTCCAGCCTGTGAAAACTAACACAGATCCACACAGAATCAGTGAGCAATTTTTTTGACAAGAGAGTGGTTTTTGATTTTTATTTTACAAGATTAGACCTGAGAATTTTCTTGTTTATATCAACAATCATCAAAATCAACTACTACCTGCCACATTTTATAGTTACTGGTAACTCTAATGCTCTAAGTTGGTAACTCAAAACATTGATGCATAATTTACAATTATCAGAACATTTAATGAATGCGTATTATATGTTAAACACAGTTTGCAATGCTGTTTTAACTCAGTTCATACTTTCAGCAACTTAGGAAGCAGGATTTATTTTTCCTTTTCTTTGACTTGTGTATTCAAAATAATAACTGTACAGAAGGGGCATTCAACTCAGGTCAGGGTCGATGCGGGTCAGGAGTTTAAGAAAGTCTGGAAGGGATGATGCTAGATCTAAACATTAAACTTAAAAGATACTAACCCTAGGCTGGCCATGAAAGGGAGTCTCTGTGCATGAGACTGGAAAGAGAGCCCAGAGGACCACCGGACGTGCAGTGTGCCTGCATGCATTCTCTCAGCAGTGGGGAGTTGGGTAAGATCGTGGTCACGAGGTCTTTTGCATTTACCCTGATACTTTTAGTCTGGATTTAAGCCTTGGAAGATTTCGTGGAATATATTTGAATGACTGAGACAGGGATGCAGCTTTTCATTATTAGAAGATCATTGTGGTGATAATTGTTAGGAAGAACAAGACAGAGAAGTCAGATGCATGAGGAAGATTCTTCAGGCTATTGGATACATGAGGAACCATGATGGAAGAAGCCAGTTAGAAGTGTAAGATGAAAAGACCTTCTTATGAGAATGATTTAGGGGAAAATATTGTAAAAATCTAGACTATCTTCCAGTGATCTGAGCAAATGACTGGAAGGAGCTGCTGAAAGGTAGTGGTGAATAAGGGACAGAAGACATTGCCTATATTGGTTTTCTTGTTTGATTTTCCTATGAGATAGCCAGGAAGAGTTGCTCAATGAATATTGAGTACATGGATCTTATGCATGGGATCAGTCTATACTCCTGGCTAATCCAAACTCTCTTCTAGATAACAACTTTCCAAAACCTGGGGCTAGAACAATGGTACAACAGGTAGGGCAGTTGGGGTTCAATCACCAGCAGCACATATGGTCCCCTGATTAGTTACAGGAGCGGTCCCTGAATGTAAAGTCTGGACTAAGTCCTGAGCTTATCCAGGTGTGACTCCAAAACCCAAACAAAAGAAAAAAGAAGGAAGACCAGACCAAAACAAAACAAAGAATAACCTTTTAAAACTTAAGTGAGTCTAAGAATTTTTTATTATTAATGCCATCCTTTACTTTTCTAGATCACTAAAATAAAGCTCAGATTGGCATCAAGTGAATCAAGTAAATAAAATGAACGAAAATAAAAATAAAAATTAAGTATATTATACATATACTCACATATATAAATATGAGAAATGTGTAAATATGCAGTTTCTCCCTCTCAGAGAGCTTGGAAAGCTAGAGTATCCCACCTGCACATCAGAGCCTGGCAAACTACCAGTGACATATTCGATATGCCAAAAACAGTAACAACAATGGGTCTCATTCCCCTGACCCTGAAAGAGACCCCAATATGCCATTGGGCTATGCTAACACCTAACAGGGATGAATAGAGACATTACTGGTGCCCACTCAAGCAAACTGATGAACAATGGGACGACAAGTGATATAAGTGATATAAATATATAGATATGCATATAAATACACATATAAATACACACACATATATATGTGTATATATGTATATTTCAGAAGCACCATATAGCAGTCTTGGGTGCACAGATTCACCAAGGATGTGTATACTTTAAAAACATATGGTCCAGAGAGATAGTGCAGGGGTTAAGGCATTGATCAACTTGTTATGCTGCAGATGACCCCAGTTCTATCTCCAGCATGACTTATGGTCTCCTGAGCAACACCAAGAGTGATCCCTGAGTGAAAAGCCAGGAGTAAGGATGCAGCACAGTCAGGTGTGCCTTTCCCCCATATACTGCCCAATCTGACCCTCCAAAATAATCTCAAAGTATACAAATGTAATCATATCATCATAAGTGAATAAGAAAAAATGTTCTACAATTCCAGTTCAGGGTCTCATGGCCCTGGAGTTGGGATCTACATCTGCATTCACTGGCCAAGATGCTCATGGATAGACCATGTGCTCTTTCATGCTTTTAAAAGGTTGCCAGGCTCTGGCTTAAAGATGCCACAGTTTCCTCTACAGTGAGGCTCTGCTCTACTTGCATATGTGGTCATGAGAAATTGGAGGAAAGACATGAGATCTGAATCCATTAAGTCCATGAAGGTCTTGGCTTGACTTATCAACAAAGCAGCACGCACCATTCATCTTTACTCCTGTCTTCTACTTTGTTTTCTCGTAACATTTATAGCTCCCATGATATTATGCTATGTATTTGTTTAAAACTTAACTTCTAGACTAGCTTGTAATCATGCAAGAATTGAGTATTTCTTTTTTTTGCTCACCACTGTTTCCCAGTGTCTGTATCTATTTCTAGTATTTAGAATATTCTTCATAAGCATTTGCTAAGTGAGTGCACCTTTGCATCCTCTGAACCTCACACTGTGCCATGTACATCGTAGGTGTAATGTTAAATGAATGTATTTCTTAGCAGCGCCGTTTTTCCTTCCATGGAGAATCTATAAGTAATAATTTTAAAGTTTTGAAAAATCAACAAACAGAAAATTCCAGATAAATTACTTACAAGTAAATTCATAAGGACAATTGGGACAAACATTGTAAAGACGATAAGTTGTGTAAAGGAGAGCAGTGGATATACTAATTCATTTCTCAAATATGGCTCTAGGAAGGAGTCACGATAACTGATATCTCCTAGCATCATGCTGAAGGTCTGGAGTATAGAAAGCAGGGGAGAGCTGAATGCATCCTGAGAAAAGAGAGTAAAACACAAATGAAATAAAAAATATATACAATATATAAATGTGTTCTCAAAAGTCAAATAAAATTATGAACTATTTTTGAAAGCCATAGGACTAGGGGACGGGAAGATAGCACACAGGTTCAAAGAGCAACATCACCGGTGCCACCAGAATAGCCCAAGAGGTCACCTGGCAGCAAAGTGCCCAAGTAACTCTACATCCTCTGGCTTCAACATCAAATCAGCTGACTCAGTTCAATATATCACCATGAATCAGTGGACTTTAGGTCTCCCAAGTGCTGATGGGGAACAACCCCCAACATAAGTACATATAGTACGGCTAATTATATGGCAATAATAATACTAATGAATATTTGACAAAATCATCAAAAATATTTTATGCACATATATCAAATCATTATCAAAGTTTGTGAAAAAATAGACATTTATTATTAAGTCTTAATAAATGGCTATTTTCCAGCAATGAACACAATTTAAATGTAACTGTAGCAGATAAAAAATAAATAAATGACTGGGCTGGAGTGAAAGCAGACAGGGTGAGTGCCTTGAATGATGCCAACCTATGTTCAATCCCTGGCAGCACCTGTGATCCCCTGAACCTTGCCAGGGGTGATCCCTTAGTGCAGAGCCAGAGGTAAGGTCTGAGCACCACCAGGTATGGCCCAGAAAAGAAAGAAAAAAGTATTTAAGCATTGCTATATTATTAATTTTCTAGGTCATTTAGATTTGCATATAAATATATATTTCCAATATTCAAAGCAACAAAATCATCTACCAATGTTAACAGTCTCACCTGTAAATTCAGCAGCACATAAAAGCTGAGCCCAAAAGCCAAAAGAAGGAAGACAAATACGACTGTAGACCTCAACAAAGTTCTCATAATTACTTCCAACATAACAATGAAAATTCCACAATTTTCGAACCTAGGAGAGTTTTAAAAATGAAAATATTTATTCACCCTTCTTATCAAGTTGACTTTCATTCAGTATCTACACTTGTAAGATACTAGGTACTCAGTTTCACAGATGAGATCTTGGGGGTTTTCAGAAAGCAAATTATTTTCAAAAGGAAATTTAAGAATAGTCAATTCTGGGGCTGGAGAGATAGCACAGCGGGTAGGGCGTTTGCCTTGCACACGGCCAACCCAGGTTTGATTCCCAGCATCCCATATGGTCCCCTGAGCACCACCAGGAATAACTCCTGAGTGCAGAGCGAGGAGTAACCCCTGTGCATCACCAGGTGTGACCCCAAAAAAGCAAAAAAAATAGTCAATTCTTATCTCTATAGTTCATATTTCCATAGTCTTATTTCAAAGTTCATCAAATTGCTTTGTTGCTTTTTCCTTTGTGTCAATGTTTATCTTTAATTGCTTTGCCCCATGACTCTTAGTTCAAATTAGGAGAGAAAATGAGTTTCCTCACATTAACAATAATATGCCCTAATGCTTGGTAAAGGAATTGGGGAAAGAGGATATATGATGCGCCCCATGGAAACAGATTGAATGAAATAGTGCCCCCCAAAGGCTCTTTGCTGAGGGTATATGGATATAATTTACATTCATCATTTTTTATTTATTTATTATAACATAGGAGCACTGCTATTTATTCAGCCATTGACTAAACTGATTGAATTTGGCATGAACTCCACTACATTCATCATTCCTACAGCCCCCTGAGGCTTCCATTTTTTTTTCTCCCCCAACAACCTACATTGGAAAATGTTTGGATGTCTATTGTGCTTTATCTGGCTACAAAATGGTACATTTCCTTTGGTAAAACCACCTGTTAAAGGGCAGCCATAATCTTTTTAATGCTGCAACTTCGAAGTTAGAACAAGTTACCAGATGAGTTCAGTAACTAAGTTAGCAGACGAGTTCAGTAACTAAGGTCACTGATCTTGATGAAACCAAAATAGTGGCAGAGTTTGGACTCTCATTAAGCCTACCAACTTGCAGGCTTCGGCTCTTTCCTCCTTTCTATTTCGCTCCAAGGCACCAGACTCAACCCAACAGATTGCTCCAAGCACAACACTCCACAACCGGGTTGGAAAAGCAAGGTCCTTGGAGTTAAAAAAAACTTTGAAATGCCAATATCTTGACTTACTAAATGAAATCTGGGCAAGTTGCTCATGGAAAGAACTCATCCTCTGCTTTTCAAGTCTTCTAGCATAACACTGTATTGTTTTATTATAGAGATTATGTAAAATAAAATACTTTTCTCAATTTTAGTAACAGTGAGTGGTAAAGGATCTTAGCCTCCCTTTCTTCATGTAGATTTGGAATATCTGGATTTATTTTTTTCTCTTATATTGCTATACTTTCCTATACTTATCACTTCATTTGATTGTTCTGAAGTATCACTAAATAATATTAGGCAGAACAAGAATACTTAACACTTTTATTCCCGTTTACTGCCCACCTTTAATCTACAATTTTCTGGACCAGTAGTTTTAGACCGAGGTGATTTTACTACCCAGAGAATTCTTGGAAAATACATGGAAAAGTTTTTCACCAGATCTGGCAAGGAACGGTAGAAGTCAAGGATCTTGCTAAAATTTTGTAATACACAGTAGAGCCCCCAACAAGATGAACCTTTAATAAATTAAGAATTTCATTTAAAATCTTTAATAGTGACAAAATTGAGAAATCCTGCTCTGAATTTTAAGCACTTTTCTTTGATGGAAATATATATATTCACTAGGCCTGAGAGATGGTTTTGAGGATATGATCTGATGATATGATGGTTTTTGAGGATGTGATTTGCAATATACTGGAGGGCCTACTTAGATCCTGGGCACCAAAAGTTCCCGTGAGCACTGCTCTGAGCAGCACCTAGGCACACAGTTGGGAGTAGAGTTAGGAACAGTCCCTAGGCACTGTTGGGTGTGGCTCCCAATCCCCACACCCTCCCCCACTGCCTTGCTACTGCCTTGCCTTGCCACACAAATACACACACACACATACATCTTCACAGCATAAAACAATTGGAAAAGTTATAGGCAATGATAAATCTGTGGTACTTATAAAAGTTCTTACTTAGATATTAAAATGTACAAATGACACAGAAATCAGTGAAGCTGCTTTTACCTCTGAAGATATAACAAGAAGTTCATCCAATATAAGAATATAGCAATTGCTCCACTTTGCCATTGCACATAAGCTTGTATTCCAATAAACAAGGGAGACACAAAAATAATGCTCGTTGTGTAGATAACCCACTCAAGTGCATTGTTAACATCCGAAAAGTAATTTGCTTTCTAGGATGGGAAAGAATAAAGAATTACTCTATGTAGAATCTAAGACATGTCATTTTATGGATGATTATATGCATATAACCGGTGGCTTTATTTTTATTCTGATGAAGAAAAGTTGGGGGTACAGAGCCATTTCCTGTCATCTTGTCTGAACTCAGAGCAAGAATATGGATGGGTGTTTGCAATTGCTCCACCTCTTCCCTTGACCTGGCACACTGGAAGTTTAATGAAGGAAAATCCACTATATTTCTAATCTTATAACTGTAGAATAAATTTAATATTAAAGAATGTCCTGAGAAAACAACACGAGTGTGTAAGAATAAACAAACGGATAAAGAAACTATGGCACAATGGAATACTATGAAGCTATTAGGAAAAATGATGTCATAAAATTTGTCTATAAATGGATGGAGATGGAGAGTATCATGCTGAGTGAAATGAGTCAGAAGGAGAGGTACAGATATAACATTCATTTCTGGTCACTGTCACTGTCCTCCCATTGTTCATCGATTTGCTCGAGTGGGCCCAGTAACGTCTCCATTGTGACAATTGTTACTGTGTTTGGCATATCGAATACGACACGGTTAGCTTGCCAGGCTTTGCCATGAGGGCGAGATCCTCTCGGTAGCTTGCTGGGCTCTCCAAGAGGGGCGGAGGAATCAAACTCGGGTTGGCCTGGTTGGCCGCTTGCAAGGCAAACGTCCAACCCACTGTGCTATCGCTGCAGCCCTCATTTGTGGTAATAATATATATAAAGACCAATATCCATGGCCAGGGAAAATAGGGACTAAGAGAACTGGTCAATGGTTGGAATCAACCACAATTCTAGGTGGGGCCGAGGCTAGGTAAAATAGAGAAGATAACAGTATGACAAGGAATGATCATGCTGGACAAGATCGGAGGGTTATAAGTAGGTAAAGGTGTATTCTTGATAAACTTTTAGTATCAAAATTGCAAACCACAATGCCCATAAAGAAAGAGAGATAGTGACAGAGACAGACACAGAGACAAAGACAGATACAAAGATAGAGACAGAGACAGAAGAAAAGTGCTTGCCATAGAGGCCGGCAGACAGGGGTGGAGGGTGGCGGGTAATGGGAGGGAACCTGGGGACACTGGTCCTAGGAAATGTACACTGGTGGGGGTATGGGTTTTGGAATACTGTATGACTGGAATCCAATCATGAACAGCTTTTTAAGGTCTATCTCACAGTTATTCAATTAAAACGTTAAAATTAATTAATTAATTAATTAAAAAATGTCCTGAAATTTGAAAAATGAGCTATGGTTGATCTCTGAACAATGGTGTATGATTCCCACTTTCCTCAAAATAAAAATAAATCTTTATCAAAGCTAGGTTTTAATTCCCATAGAGTTTAACTATTATTGAACTGAAATGACATAAACTATACATAAATACATACATGCACATTGTATGATATTTGTAGATGTAGATAGATAACAATGCCAGAGAAATGAAAATGTTAAGTAAATCATAAAGTGCATTTACATTACACTATATTTATCAACATTAATTTTTAATTGTCTATGTTAAAATCTGTGTATAAGTTCAAATTACACATCTATAATCCTTACTCTGCAAAAATCAACTGTAATTCCTTTTGCTCATAAAAGGACTTTTGAGTTTGAACTCTCTAGATACAAATTAAATAAAACTGCTTCTAAAAGGACTTGTGATCTGTGTTGAATTATCATAATTATCTCATTTTTTATTTAAAAACTCCATAGTTTAGACATCAGCTGTCCTGTAGACTATCTAAATATCAATAAAAATGTAGAAACTACCTTATGCAGAAAATAGAGTTCTGTATTCTAGAGTTCAATTTGAATTCTAAAATTCCCATCTCAGGTAAATGAAAAATAATGATCGGAGGGATAAAATAATCACTCAGAGTATAATGGGATAATACAGTCCTTCAGAATTGAGACAATCAATTGTAAGAACATAGACATGTATATTTACAGATTTTTTTAATAAAAGTACTTTGATACATAAAGTACTAATATCTATTATATTACAAAAGCAAAATAGTTTTTACCGATACTTTTTAAAGTATTAAGTAAAAAAGTGCTATACAAAGTTTCCAAATTTTAATATAACTTGAGATTTTACCCAAGAATGTAAATCACTACTGTTAAAAAGAAAAATCAGAGAAAAATTAGTTTGAAATGGAATCCTGCTCAAGAAAGCTCTTCATAAGCACTTACATTCTAATATTGTGCAATTAAAATTTAGCTATTATGTTAGCAAAAAATATATGAGAAAACCAAGAAAATACATTCATAACTTCATTTCTTTCCAGACAAACCTGAATGGACTTAAAAAACTGAAACGTTTCTCCTCTAAATATGAAACATTAACACCATCCAGTGGTGTTACCGATAGGAACTCTATCTAACATTATGAGATTTCTACATACTAAGAAACTGATGCTCAGTATTTCTAATCTATGTTTTTGCCAATCTATGTCATTTTAATCTTACATTTTAATAATAGTTAAGGAATTTATCATTTACCTATGAAAATATTTTTAACTTTATAGATTTTTTAAAAAGCATAATCAGTACCTGTTGGAAAATTTGGACCACTTCCTTGCAAAATCCAAATATACTCGATAGAAAAACTAAAATCATACAAATTTTTATAAGATATGAATCCTGCAATTAAAAAGTATAAGACAGAGTTATGAAAATTATTAAAATAACACTTCAGCTTCTTTTCATTTACACCATTGTTTCATTTTGCCTCATTTCTATGTACTAGCCATATTTGCTTTAAAAACATAACTGTGATGCTAACATAATTATTCTACATACTAATTTCATAGGTTATTAAGAATTTCAAAACTTACAAACTATTTAACGGTATTTTAATCTGTAAACCTATGCAAATATTTTACTATAGCAAAATACATATAACATTTAATTTACCATTTTAAAAGTTTCATGTGTACATTTGCATTTTAAATTTCTGAATCTGTGGCACTAAGTAATTACATATGTAATTACAAACATCACAAAAATCTAGACCAGGTGTGGGGAACTTATTTCTCTACCAAGTGCATCTGGATTTTTTTATTGTTGTGGGTCATACAATATAAGCAGACAGGCCATGAGGGTCAGCTTCAGAAACATACATGTCATGTACCAGCAGAAGACTATATATTTCCTTTGGGTTGTGTAAGGCTGCAAGCCAGTTTTTCCCCATACCTGATCAAGAATTCTGTCACTTTTTCATAACCTTAAATGGAGGACCTTCAAGGAGTAAAGGATCACTGTCCTCCTATTACTAGCTTTGCCAATAGCCCTAATCTTAAGAAAGTTGTGCTTTATACTTACACATTCAAGCTATCTTGTACATATCACATCCTTATAAAATAGCTATGGTCTTATTTATTAACATCTTTTTTCTAATTTATTTTCATTCCACAAAGGGTTTTAGGAGATATTCCTATCATATATGCATTTTATAGATTATAGTAAAATTTTGGTATTTCAGATTAATCATGAGACCAGTATTTCTAAGGAAAAACAGTACACATTTTTATAATTCCTATTTAAAGAATATGAAAACAAATTTGAAATACCTTGGTGTCTAATATTTCTGAATGATCACTAGTTTCATTGATGATTCCAGTAGAGTTGAAAGCCATACCTGGCTTTATGTTGACAACAAGAAAGGTCATAGGTAAAAGACCAAGACAATAAAATCCTAGGTTCATAATATGGGCTCTAAATCCATAAGCCAACCTACAAAAAGTACGAAAACCATAACTACCTACAAAAAGTACGAAACCATAACCTTAAACAAAGTATTTACTTAGGGTATCTGTGGAAAAAAATTATAATTCTTTGCAGAATTCTACTTGGTAAACTAATTAAATTTTAGAACCACATTCAAATTATTGATCTTTTTCATTTTCAGAAAAGGAATCTCAACTTCCAGGAAAATCATGACCGAAAATTTCTTAACAGTTCATATAAGGCTGAGACTTTAACTCCCATGTTCTCATTTCAAATTCAGTGCTTCCTAAGCACCTATCATTTCATTTTCAATTAACCTGCAGGGCCCAAGAGTGCTTCTCATGACTCATATAATGAGCCACATCTACCAAACATTTCAATTAATCTCCATCACAGCACTAGAAATTTTTCCAAGCCCTATACTGAGCTGATTTCACTGAGGCACCCCACATGTGAAATATTTTAAAAGTTGATCATTATTTAAAATTTATATATTTGCCTTCATCATATATAATTTGATTCCATCATATTTCATTTTATCATATCATTTTATAAATACAAACAAAATAATAAAATTTGAAACATTGAAATATTATTAGAGTAATTATTTAGAAGATTTCAATTGAGGCATAATTAAAAAAGAAATACTATTTCACATCTACCATTTCATAAGTAAATATTCTTTGCACACTGGATGGTTGAGTAGCTCTATGCGGTTGTTCTGTACCATTACCTAAAAAAATAAGGAAAAATGATGAAAATACAGTAATTTAAATGTTGTTGAGAATAACCTAAGATTTTGATTTTGTAACAATTTTGGTTATTGTGTGAGAAAAATTTTAAAATATCAAGAAATACATAAAGAAAAGTGAGAGGACATAGAATTACTCACACATATATTTATGTATTATACACATATATTGGTTTTAGAATCACACCCACTGTGCTCAGGGATTGGTCAAGATTCTGTACTCAAGGGACATTTCTGGCAGAGTTTGTTTGGGATCAAATAGGGTCAGCTGTGTGCAAGGCAAGAACCTTACTCATTCTACTATCTCTCCAACCCAAGGGGGATATATATATGTATATATGCATATATGTATATATACATATATTCACACATATAAATATACACACATAGATGTATAAGAGGTATATATATACATAAGAGGTAATATATATATACATAAGAGGTAATACGTATATATATATACATATACATATGTACAATACAAGTTAGAAAGCTATTATCTACAGGTGCAAGTATTTTATTCACTTTGCTTCTTTTTTGGCACTTATCGAGTTCTTGTCTTGTACAAAGGTATATGTGGAAAGAAAATTAAAGACAGACACACAAGAACTACAATCTCTCTCTCTCTCTCTCTCTCTCTCTCTCTCTCTCTCTCTCTCATTTCTCTCTTGCTGGGGTTAGTGTCCTGGTGGCACCCAGGACCTTTGGGCCCAATCATTTAAAGTGCTGGCTGAGAATCATTGGAAGTAGCTCTTGGGTCAACTGAGCATTGGAAGGATCAGCCTCCCTCCCATACCACATGACCACCCCCCCCCACATGCACCTTCTCCAAAATAAACAAAAGTAAAAACCTACATTCCTGCGCACAAAAAAATTCTCCAAAGTATAACTGTAATGTAATTACTTTTAAGATGCTTGGTTATTGAATGTGAGCTATAAAAACAACTACAAAACATTACATACTACAGAGTTAAAATGCTTTGTATTGAGCAAACATGAAAATTAGCTGCTGCTGCCCATCTAAAATCTACATGGTGAGGCACCAACGGCCCAGGCCCAGAGACACAGCAGCAGCAAGTCCCAGAGGGCATCACAGCACTGGAGATTTTTCTGAGCCTTATATCAAGTTGATTTCACCAAGGCAACTTAGATGGAGCAGGTGCAGTCTCCCCAGCTACTCCAGATGAAATCCCAGCGACCATGAGCTTACACAAGCAAGGCCTAGGTATGTGGATTCCAGAACTAAGCCTCCAAACCATGGCGGCAATGGTGCCAGGCATTCCCAACTCAGCTTCCTGTCCATTTTTGAAGCCAGATGTCATGCCCACAGCCTGCCTCTGGGCACCATCTTGGTGCACCAACAGCCTGGGGCCTAGAAACTCCATTTGAATCCCAAAATGGATTAGCTCCCTACAGAGATATCTCTGAAAAGCAACCATTTACAACCTTAGAACTTCAGAAGTGTGCAGCCGCACAACCTCTCAGGATATGTAAAATGAGCAATGGAAAATAAATGATCTAGCGTCTGCCCCTGGAAGGAAGGCTTAAATCATGGTGGGAAAATTTGAGCAAAATATAATGCCCCAAAGTAGAGAGAGAGAGTATCTGAGAAATTGTCATAGAGACAGAGTGAGGGTGGAGGGATAATGGGGACATTGGTGGTAGAAAATTTGCACTGGTGGAGGGATGGGTGTTCGATCATTTTATAGCTGAATCTCAAACATGAAAACTTTGTAACTATCTCACCATGGTGGTTCAATAAAAATAAAATAAAATCTACATGGAGGGAACCAGAGTGATAGTACTGTGCGTGGGTGCTAGGTTTGCATGTAACCAACATGATTTCAGTCCCCAACAGTGCATACCCCTCCCCCCGAGTCTTCCTAAGAGATATTCCTGAGAATAGAGGCAGGATAAAGCCCTGAGCTCTGCAGGGTGTACCCATCAATCTATTAAATACTTAATGTAAAATCCACATAGTTGTACCCTTCCCACTATAAGTATTTATCAAGTCTTCTTGATTTACTTTAAATTACGGTCAGTACAAAAATTGCCCCTATATAGGGAAATGAATTCTCTACTGTGGATGGCCCAGACTAGTGTTGTCTAATAGAACTTTCTGTAATAAAGAAAATGTCCTTTATCTGCTATTCATTATGGGAGACAAGAGGTAAGTGGGCAACTGAGCATTTGAATTATGGCAATTGAAGTGAAGAAGCAAGTTCTAAAACTTCATTCAATTTTAAGTAGATCTAGAACCTTGACCACAATTTACAAATCCTCAAGTATGTTTTTTTTTTGTTTTATGCACACACAAAAATTTTAATTTATTAACTTTATAAGCCTATGTGCTGTTCTCACATGGCAACACTTTATTGAAACTAGTAGTTTCTGTTCTTTCAGATACATATTCATGGTATTTTTCTTGCAGTTATTTAAATTTGAGAACTAGATCATTTGCATTAGTGTTTGGTGCTTTATCTGTTAAAACATGAATGCACTGTTTTTTCCCTTGTTTGATTTTTGGGCCACACCTTGTGTTGGCTCAGGGCTTCCTCCTGGCTCGGTGCCCATGAATCATTCCCAACAGGGCTTGGGTGACCATATGTGGATATAACCAGGTTTGGTCACATGCAAGGCAACTGCCCTACCCACAGTACTATTACTCTAGTCCCTCTGAATGCACTCATTGGAATAAGAACTGATTTGGAGCAAGTCTGGGGTGAAGTTTGGGCACATACTGTTCATGCAAAGATGTTTTCACATTGAGTTTAATGTTCAGAAGGATTTAGTAACTTCTGAAAGGTCATGATTTACTATGTGGCCTAGTGGTTGACTGAAGTCAGAAACAATAAATTTTCACCTATTGAATTTCCTGTGACTAATAATACAGGAAACTCTTGAATAGGTATGTTTCTATGTAGGTGGATGCAGGTTGGGTAGCCAGTACTGAAGTTTAGCATTGTTGGACATTGTTTATTGGAGTCGACTTTGAGGCAGACTTAACATAACTACTCCAACTAAAGTGAACAAGAGTGTGGACCTTATAACAGGATCCTCCCCTCTCCTCCCCACCCTCCCCTTCCTTCCTGTCCCCTCTCTACTCCTCTCTTTCACCCTGTGGTGATCATAAACCATGTCTGCCTTGAGTCTTTGTGCTTGGAGGAGTGGGGAGGGGTACTCCTTGCGGTCACTGGGGGACCATGTAGTGTTGAAATCAAACTGAGCATGAAACATATGTACTCCATTCTTTTGAGCTATATCCCGGGTCTCTAGATAGCTTTCTTTTTAAAAAAATTAAGTTTGACATTGATGGAAGGAAGGTGACATTAGTGGTAGGATTGGTGTTGGAACATTGTATGCCTGAAACAGCTCTATTCTGAATCTCTAAAAACAAAGAAAAATACAGTTTTGAAGAATAATTATTTAAATAAAGCACTGAATTTATGAATCAAAAAATAAAGTTATAAAACATATAAAATTATCTTCAGATATTTTCTGAAACTATTTCTAAAACTCATGGAGAAACTACAAAAATAGCGAAGACCCTGGACTTACATTGAGGGTTGTAAGAGGTTCATATGTAACATTCTGTAGAGATGACTCTTTTTTGGTGAATTCTAATGGACACTGAAGATAAGTAAAATTATACTCGATCTGTAGAAGATATAATTTTTAAAACTTAGGAATAAAGATCCCAAGGATAGTTCTTGACAAATCAAGTAAATAAGAGACAATATTGCTGAAAATTAAGTGACTCAAATAAAACTGAAACTTTTCATGTAGAGAAAATAAAATTAAACTGCTATATATGTACTTAAATAAATATCTCAGAAGATTATTATTTGATTGCTCTATAAAGTCATGGAAAAATATAAATTCTTGAAATATCACTTAGCTTCCTTAGAAAATAAAAAACCAATAAGCAACTCTTAATAATGTTATCAGAAAAAAATTATCACATGAACTCAGAGAATCTAAAGAGTCTCTCCTCAACATTTAATACAGTTATGTATTAAATCCTCAACATTTAATACAGTTATGTATTAAATGTATAAAGATAATAACCACTATCTTTGGGAATTACAGAAAATTAGCTTCAAATTATTATAACAAAATGAGCTTACATAGTAGTCTCGGCAGGACTTGTCCTCTGTGGACGGCATCATACATAAATCTAAAAGTACCTTTGAAAGAGAAAAATGCTGATATTTGGTAGGTGGGACTAGAAATGTTGAAAAACCTCACAACCAGTAGCTTTATTCAGTTAGAGACTGCCATTGGTAGTTTCTGCTCTAGAAGCAGATTGTTTGAATTAAAAGAAAATTTATTTAATATATTTTCCTACAATGCACAAACAAACTAATAGAATTTTTTAAGTAGACCATGTTAAATACATAGCTACGAAAAACTAAAAACTTTATTTTAAATATAGGAATGAGTATCATTCATCCATTTCTATATTTATATCTATGAATATATTATTGATATATTGTGATTATCACAGTAATATTCACATTTATCCTATGTAAAATCCCAGAAGGGATTTTATTTTGAGAGCTTACTTTCATGCATTCTGGGAGGTATTCTACCAATTCCACAACGGGGCATCTGTTGCTTGGAGAAAGATGACTAAAGACCTCTAGACACTGTTCCCACCTGCAAAATAATAATAACAACAATAACAACAACAATCAGTTTTAATCCCTTTGTACTGAACAACAACAAAACTACTAGTTGAAACTTGGGATCATATCTTTAGGGGAATGAAGTTAGTTTCAATGGTACCAATATGTGAATGGTGAATCAATTCATTAATTTGGCCCTTATTCAAGAACAGAAATTAGAAATGTAGGCAAATTCCAGAATGACTTTGTTTTTAAGTTGATAAAAAGTTTTATTTATTTTTATTTAAAATTTTATTTTCTTTTAAAAAAAACTGTGATTTATAAAGTTGTTGATAGTTGAGTTTTAGAAACATAATATTTCAACACAAATCCCATTGCCAGTGTCAACTTCCCTCGACCAATGTTCCCATACTGTCTCCTTACCCCCATCCCTAACCCCATGCCCGCCTGTCAACGTGGCAGGCACATTACAAAGTTCCAGTGGTTGCAGCTTAAATCTCATGTGTTCCATGTTGTTTTTTGAGTTTGTGTTTCAGGTGCATGGCTCTACCAGTCACCCACATCACTAGTGTAACTGAAGCACTGATGCCTGTTCATTCACTATTTCCCATTCTTTTCTCCCCTCTTTATTTCCTTCCATTGCTTTCTCTAAATTACTTGATATGTTTTGAACATGAGATTCTTTTCAATCTCTGTTTCCACTACTTAGAGTTATGTCGCCCTTGTACATATCTGTTATTTTATCAAGCAGTTTATATATGCCCCAAAGTGGGAAAACTACATCCATATTCATCAGTAAAACTCTTTAAAGAATTAAAAAAGACAATCTGTGTTCAGAGATCATTCCTAGTCAGTATTTGAGGGGACCATAAGCAGTGCTGAGAATTGAAGCAGGGTAGGCTGCGTGCAAGGAAAGTGGCTTAATAGCTGTACTAATCTCTAGTCCTAATAAAGGATTGTTTGACTTAAAAGAAAAATTTTAATTTTAACACACACAAGAAACAAAAACAAAGGTCACAACCTGGGTCAGGTAGATAATACCAGAGTTCAGGTGTTAGAGGTAGCCAACCCCAAGTTTATTTTGGGCCATCACATATTGTCCCTTGAGTACTGCCAAATGTGATCCCTGAGCACAGAGCACTGTGCATCCACTGTGTGTGACCTAACCCCAACCTCCTATACCCCCCCTGCAAAAAAAAACCAGCCACAACCACAATATGACATGTGTTAAGTAAGATGGATTTCTTTAGCTAGTTCTAGTAACAATGTGGAAATTTATGGAGAATATTATTGCCAGTATTTAGTTGAGGAGTTATGTTTGTAGGAGAGTTCTGGGCAAATTCAGGGAGGATGGGTCAACATTTGGTTGACAATGATCTTAAAACTAGATACTACAAATGGATGAACCCAGAGAGCTTCGCACAAGTGCTACAAAAGTATCCTATGTTTAAAAGTTTTATGGAATCATTCTATGTCTGTCCCTCTCTTTCTGACTCATTTCACTTAACATGATACTATCCAGTCATACCATGTTCAAGTTCCCATCCCTCCACCAGCGTCCATTCTCCATGACCAATTTTCCCAGTATCCCTCCTGCACTCCAACCCCTTCTCACCCTCTGCCTCCGTGGCAGGCACATTCCCTCTTACTCTCTCTCTCTCTTTCCTTTTGGATATTATAGTTTGCAATACAGGTACTAAGCAGCCATCATGTTTGGTCCATAGTCTACTTTCAGTATTCATCTACCATCCTGTGTGAGCCCTTAAACCATTATTTACTTAGTGGTCCCTTCTCTATTATCCCAGCCGTCTTTTCCCCCAGCACATGAAACTGGCTTTCAAGCTACCTGACCCTTATCTCTACTGTCCTTAGGTGTTAGTCTCCTTTTATGTTATCTCATGGTGATTTATTAAAGTAAAGTTTTTTTAAAGTCTTATGGAAGCAGCTGATATTTAAAATGTTGATTTTCAGGTGAAATTTATTCATTTTCTTCTTCCGTTTCCTACAGTTGTCTGTATTACTTGATGCCAACAGACATTAGATGATGATTGACATGAGAACAGCATACCTTTTGCTTCTGATGGTCGTAAGAACCACATCCTTTCTCTTATTGTGAATTGCAACATGCAAAAAGGAGGCCTGCTGCTTGTTCAAGATAATGTCAGCCCCATAATTCAGGAGAAGCAGAACAGCTTTGGCATGGCCTGCCCTGGCAGCAAAGTGAAGTGCAGTGTTCTTTTAGGGAAAAAGAGCATGGAAAATATAATGACAATGGTTCATTAGCATTGGGCATTTTATGGAATTGTTTCATTGTTGAACTTCTCAAAAGAAATTATTAACACAACATCATTAATATACACACAAAATTTAAAACTAGTACTTTTTTTAGCAATTAGAAGACAAAAGACAAGATTTCAGTTTTCAGTTGTAAGGATATTCCAATGAATACAGAAGAAAATACATATGGGACATGTGCCATCCAATAGAGCAATAGTTACAGATTTGGAGTTTTCATATCTTCCTTTTAATAAAAGATGATTATGAGGTTAACAACCATCTAAATTTTAGTGACAAGGATATTCGTAAAACAATGCTATCACTTCTCTCTCGATAATTTTATTAATGGCCGCACATTTCAATCTATTCTCCTCAAAAGGGAAGACCATCAGAAAAGAATTAAGGAGTTTTTCCTATCAAATATAGTTACATTTTATGAAAACTTTATATTTTTCACAGTTCACCAGGGACTAGTGAAAACTTCATCATCATCTCACATGAGCTATGGACCCTGGTGAGCTCTGCAACACTGGAGAATTCTCTTTAACACACACCACCGGTAATGTCATCTCACTTCTGTTCCCCATGACTTTTTCTCCACTTTTAGGGTCTGCATTTTAATAACCCAGTAAAAGACTAGTCATGGGGCAAGGGAGGTAAAAGAATAGCTAAGAAGGCATTCTTGCAATTTTTTGCCAATTTCTTCTATGCTGAGACAGGCAAGGTGTGAAAAACAAGGCACATACCCCTTCTTCATCCAGCCTATCTGTGCACTTCAAATTAGTGTCAAGAATGACCTTCATGGTCTGAGTGTAGCCACCCAAGGATGCATGATGCAAAGCTGTCCAGCCATTGTGGTCGCTAATAAAGGGATAAGAAAAGAAGTTCACATTCATTTCACACAAAATGTGGGACAAGAGGGCACTTGCTTACTCATTTGAAAGGGGATTGGGTCACAAGATGACAAATGTACATCTGAGTCTAGCATCTCAATATTTATTACATTTAACAAACGAGCAAATTTCAAACCTGATAATCCTTGGTGCTATAAGTAAAGTAAAAGTAAAGGCCCTCCCGTTGATCGTCGATTTGCTCGAGCGGGCCCAGTAACGTCTCCATTGGAGACTTTGTTGTTACTGTGTCTGGCATATCGAATACTCTCGGTAGCTTGCCGGGCTCTCCGAGAGGGGCGGAGGAATCGAACTCGGGTCGGCCATGTTGGCCGCTTGTAAGGCGAACGCCCTACCCGCTGTGCTATCGCTCGGCCTTGGTGCTATGATTCCCATAATTCAGCAGATTAACATAGAAAAGTCTATAAACAGATTACAAGATCTTGGGACAGGTGGAACTACAACACACGTGTGTGTCAGACCTTTTTAATGTAAACATCACTATTTTGTTGGGGGCGGTACTTTGACAAACAGGTTTTGAACATTGTCTAACGAATTCTCACTACCATCCTACGGGAAAGGAAACTTAGCTTAGCAGACCATTTTCTTTACCAGTCACAAAACTTTCATTTCATATGACTCTTTTATTTTTTTGCCTCCCAAGTAGTGCCCTTGGTACCAGCAGGGCACTCCCATCTAGACTTGGCCTATGTTTACAGGCCAGACAGTTCATTGGTTGGGTCTATGAGGGGCTATTCAGACTCAGGGTGCTGGGTGTGGGAAGCCTGGGATCCATATGACGGAAATCATATATATATCATATAGCACATAGAGCTATCTCTCCAGCCATAATCATGTCATCTCCTAATGTTGCTTACATATTTTCATTTGGTTTTGTTCATGAAATTTAACTATAAAAAATTCAGTATTTTCTGTACAGCCTGTGAAGCCTAAAGGAATCTTTTTATGCTCATTTTACAACAGATTAAAATGAGAAGTATTCTTTGAACCTGTATAGTGTATGTGTGCATAGAGTTTTGAAACTGCATAAGCAGGTAGTAATACATAATACAATACATTTTGAGTTGAAAATAAATAAATAAATAAATTTTGAGTTGCATTGCATTAAAAGATTCAAGAGCTACCTGGCATGAGGCCATTTATTTTATTTTGTGACCTGGAAGTATCTTAAATTCGATAAACCTCTATATTTTCATTCATCAGTTGAGAGTAGTACTGACTACCTTTAAATGTTGAGGCATCACATTACATTTTACAAACTATTAGAATGGATAAAAGGATATAGGGTGGCAGACATTTAGATATCAAGATTTAATGGAAAATAAAAACAGGCTGAGTGGCTAATTTAAAAGAACATAAAATTATTTGAATCATGTCCTCACCTGAGAAATAAGGCACCTTTTTTCAGAAGAAGTTGAACTACTTTATCATGCCCATTCTTTGCAGCGAGGTGAAGCGGAGTCATTCCATGAAGGTCACCTTCATTCAAAAGCCTGGTATCACTAATGTCTTGCAGGAGCCTCTGACAGGTATTGATACGCCCATAACTTAAAATAAAATAGATTTCTTATTTCAAACTAAATATGAAATAGAAAAAGGACTTTCTCATATGTTGCTTAAACTAAACCTTACCTGGCTGCGAAATGTAGGGGTGATTTCCTATCTTTGCTTTTGGAATTAATGGACACATTATAGCAAAGTAGATTGTTTACAGAGAAAGGTATACCCTGTCTACAAGCATAATGCAGAGGAGTACAGCCTTCGAAGTCTTCATCCATTACCAGCTCCTTAATATGTTGCATCTAGGGGAGAAAAATAACATTCAACTATGGTTCTGCTAGCATAGATTTAGAATGTTCTTCAAAATATTCTGTAGGATAGTATTTTTCCACAAGATTTAAAATCTATTGAAACGCAAATAATCTAAAGGTTATAAGAGTAAAATAATTTTGTATGATGGCATAGTCTGTTTCCTTATAATGCACATTGCAATATTAGAAGGGCTGAGAAATCTTGCAAGCAGAAGAGCAATTTTAACTCCTTTATTAATATATTTTATAATGTATTTGATAGATGTCTTTTAAAAATGTATCTGATCACAGACCACACTTTTAGCCTTCCCTTCTTTTTCTTTTCCAAATAGCAACTAAGTTAAATGCTGATGTGTATTTTTTAATGAATGAAACGCTGATGAATTTTGTTAAAGACTTGGACTCACTTTATGTTTTATATGTGTATCAAACTAATGAATGATTGGAAAATAGTTCATCCAACCAATATAGAAATCTATCCTTATTTTTTAAATACTTAAATAACCATGCATTTTATTCTTCATGAAGGATTCTAATAATAGTGAAATATATTATAAAATATACAATGTATATTCAATAGTAATCAACAAATCTAAATTAGTAGAGAATATTTTAAAATTTTTAAAAGATATTGAGTAATATTTTCTTGATTGATGAATTACTCTTTTCTGTTGATATACAAATTATAATGATTAAGTTGTGAAGAAAAGATGACATATGGTAGTATGAAATATGAAAATGTTTGTTAATTAAAAAACTCAACCAAATACAATTTATTACTATTATGGTTATAACCATTAAAAGAACAGAAAAATCATAACTACAATGCTAGAAGTATTAAAATAAGGCATCTTTATTTTAAATAGTATTTAAGTTCCAGATTCAGTCTCTATAATAGTAAAAATGACAATAAACAAAATCACTTCACTTCTTTGAAGGCAACTCAATTTGCCTGGCAAGCTACCCGTGACGTATTCAATATGCCAAACACAGTAACAAGTCTCACAATGTTACTGGGCCCGCTTGAGCAAATCGATGAGCAACAGGAAGACAGTGACAGTGACAGCGATCCATTAATTACCTGCATAAACTCAGGTTGCAAGTTTTGTAATCCATGAGATTGCTGTACAATCAAATGCAAAAAGTTCCGTCCAAAATTATCTTTTATGTCTACTTGAGCACCTGAAAAACAAAGCAAAAAATAAATATAACTTCTATTCATTATTAAAACATGGCCCATAGCAGATTTTATTTTTAAATTACTTATTAACCTACTGTGGTTGATTTATGAGATTGTATATAATTTGAGGGTACATTTTTATACCTCCTCAAATGTGTACCCCCTACAACGCTCACCACCCAATAATTAAAATCCAATTTAACATAGTCTGAGGAACCCTTTCTAGTAGGATGGATTTTCAATTTAAAATATTTTTTAATTTAAATGTTAATTTGTCAATGTTCAACTTAAAAGAAACTTCATTTATGTAAGAAAACTAAAAATATAAAAAAATAATTTATCTTATAATATGTGAGTGTATAAAGGTGTGGGTCCAGAATTTGTGTTTTATTACATAATATGTAAAATCTTACCTTTTAAAGCATAATGTGAAAATAAGTGTATACTATTGAGTAAGAAAGAAGAGAACAGCATCGCTGTCCTCTTTGCTATAATTATACCTGCTTTGCATCTCAAGTGGAGATAATGAGAAAAATTACATCTCTTCAGATTGATTCACTGGGAGACTATTAGATGAAATGGTCAGAATCATACCTGGGATATTACAGTTGTTTTATAAATGTTACCTACTATCGTTTGGCAATTACCTAGGTATTGCTCCCTTACTGGAAAAAGTATTCTAGATATGGGAAATTTTCTATTTATCTTTGTACACACAGCACCTAGTTCAATGCTTGCTATGTAATAAGTAGTAAGTGTTTTATCAACCAAACTGAGTAGCTGTTTAAAAGGTTATCTTGGCCCTTCTTAGTACCTTTGGATAGTAGCAAATTGACAACATTCCAAGATGCAGAAGTAGTTGCTAACAGAAGTGGAGAACGTCCTTCAAAATCAATGGCATTTATATCTGCTCCCTAAAATAAAATAAGTCATTCAATATAGAGTTTACAGTCAAATCATTTGACATTGTGATATGTAAATAATGTGGAATCCCTGGGGTAAAATGTCCAAAAAATATATAGCTCTCAAATGTAACTATGAAATGATTTGAAATTTTGCTATAATTTCACATAACTTCAGGAGTCAAAGCATTCTTTGATAATTTCAACAGCACCAAGTTATCTTCACCACCTATGGAAGTAGCTCAAAGAGCACGTGAGGCCATGTATTTTATTCCCAGCTCTCATTGTCCCCCAAGCACTGTTAGGGGTATCTCTGATAATCCCCAAACACCTCTGAGTGTGACTCTGGTGGACCCAAACAACCCTGGGCCCGCAAAGTGCACCATCACCAGTCTTAAACACTGATCCATCCAGGCCAGACAGTAGGCCGGTAATCTCCAGAGCAATCTCAGGCTCTCTGAACACTGCTTAAGAGGCCACCACACAACGCATTATTCTCATGTTACTTTTTAAGTTGACATCTAACAATAAATTTGCTATTTTCTATATGGGCTGGAGTGATAGGTTAGCAGGTTGGACATTTGCCTTGCATGCAACCGACCTTGGTTCGATTCCTCCATCCCTCTCAGAGAGCCCGGCAAGCTACAGAGAGAATCCCACCTGCATAGCAGAGCCTGGCAAGCTCCCCGTTGCATATTCTATATGCCAAAAACAGTAACAACAAGTCTCACAATGGAGACATTACTGATGCCCGCTCTAGCAAATTGATAAACAACAGGAGGACAATGCTACAGTGCTACAGATTTTCTATACCAGAACTTTAAACCTTTGGTTCAGTGAACAGTGTTGTTCTGTAAAAATTTCCTACCAGTTCTCAAACAAAGTTATTTCCACTTAACATATAGCCTGCCTGAATCATGTGGGGGTACTATTATAGAACTTAAAAATTGGTTTTTATTCCTTTTTAAATGATTCACAAATATTTCTCTAATTTTCATGGGTCAATAGGTATAAAAAAAGATTGTAAACTACCGACCTAAATCATAAAAATAAAATGCTTTTTACCTTTAGGAATAGTTAAATTCCCTTTGTACAAAAAGAAAAAATCAATATCCATAACAAATTATCTCCAGTTTTATTAGTTATATAATTTAAAGAACACTGGAATAAAATTGTTCACTGTTTCAAAAGATCTGCTGTACTTGACAACATTATACTCACTGTGAGAGCACATGCCTTGCATGTAGGAGGCTCTAGGTTCTATACCCAGCATTTTACACACACACACACACACACACACACACACACACACACACACACACACTCAAACTCTCTGAAATTGAGAATTCCCAAATAGTTTAGAAAAATTAAATTGAAAAAATTAATAATAGGTGTTAATGAATGTTTAAATATCCACCTAGTCTTACAATAACCAAGCTAATAGATTGAAATATTTGATATGACAAGGAAAAAAATTTTTAAAGCTCAGAGGAATTATGCTTTCTTCGGGATTGGTTAATACCACTGGGGTATTTCCCTTTCTTTTAGGACCTCTAAATAGAGATGACCTGGAAGCTTTTCCCACTTTGAAAGCCTGATGGTGGTTCATCAGGTTCAGCCTCTGTTCTCTTGCCAAGTGAAGAGGCAACAACAGTTGGAGAAAATTTTTCCAGACAAGAATCCAGGGTTTTCTGATGCAAAGAGCCCAATTTTAAACCTTGCAATTGATAACACATAAATATTTGAACTATATTTGTTGATGTGTACGATAGGGTTAGATAGATAAAATACTTACCCATTTTATTTATTTATTTATTTTTTGCTTTTTTGGGTCACACCCAGCGATGCACAGGAATTACTCCTGGTTCATGCACTCAGAAATCTCTCCTGGCAGTGCTCGGGGGACCATATGGGATGCTGGGAATCGAACCTGAGTCTGCCACGTGCAAGGCAAACACCCGACCCACTGTGCTATTGTTCCAGTTCTACTTACCCATTTAGAGGGGGCAACAACTCAAAAACCAATTTCACTTCTTAGAGTGAAAAAAAGGTTTCTGGCAGTTGAAGAGGTAATACAGAGTTTAAGGTGCTTGCCTTACACACAGCCCACCTGACTTCCACCTCTTGCACCCCACATGGTCTCCTGATCCCTGCCAGGAGTGGTCCCTGAGCACTGCTGAGTATGGCTCCATCCCAAAATAAATAAAAAATAGGACATAAAAGATTTCTGGACACTCTGATGGGGATGCGGTGCTAGAATGTTCTATGCAAGAAAGCCTACTATTAACAGTATTGTAAACCACGGTGTCTAAATTAAAATGTAAACATGGAAAAGAAGATTTTACGCATTCACTTATTATAAACCTCGGATAATAGTTTTAATTTCTCAATTCTTCACTGAGAGCTCGCGCTGACCAGTGAAGGTGACAAAAGCTGTCAATTCAGCCCCAGGTTCCAAAGCCCAGTGCTTAAGAAGGTCATCCCCTACACTTTGCTCAGGCAGATTCACAGAAGAGCTTTTCTTGCTCTGAGCCCACTAGATTCCCACCTCCACAAAAATCTTGATAAGGATATCAAAATTTGGCACTGGCACTCCTAAATTCTCAGTAATTAGGTCTGACATTTATGCATTTACACACAATTTTCTCTATTTATAAAGAATCCCATTGTGCAAATATTTTTCTTTTACTTATAAGCAAGCAATTAAATTTTTCGTTTATTTTTTAAAATACATATAATATAATAAAATGATTTTTCAAATATAAAGTCATCCAAAATCTGTGAATGAAATAGTTACCATTGAAATTAAGTATTCTGCTAGTTCATGGTGATCGAATAAGGAAGCTCTGTAAAACAGAATTATAAACATAGTAAAGTACTATTGATATGTTATATTTAAGCAATATTAAAATTATAAAAATTCAACTGTTATAGTAATTTAATAACATGATAAATGCTGAAAATTAATAATCTTTCAAAAATATAACTGATTCCTACTAGGATATTTTAAAATAATAATAATAGGAATAGATCAAATACACCATGATATTTTCTACCTCATGTTTTGGTAAACCTTTTTATCTACAAAAAAATGATGAAGATGCACTGACATGAACAGTAATATCTTCCTTAAGAGTTTAAAATAAAAGAACTGGTTTTGATCGATGTTATGGGAAAAATATATTTTATGTAAGAAGTGTTTGAAATAATCTACAGGGCTCAAAATGCACCTTCTCTGACAAAGTTATCCAGATGGTATTATCACTCCTAAGAACTTACAAAGGCCCAATCCCCAAATTGGGAAAATTGAAGTAATTTACATCTCATAGACTATCTTAAAGATGATTTAATTAAAAAATCAAATGGAAAGTTTTCTATCTACATTAAAGCACTAAGATAACAAATATAAATACCACTTATTTAAAAACTTGCTTCCAATTGAAAATACCATTTCTTTGTTCGATTCAAGATTATTTCAACATTTTATAAATCTCTGTATATTAATCTTGAAATCAATTTTGTTAATTTTCACTGCAACTCACATGAGGTTGCATCATAAAGTACATTAAATATACTTAGCAATTTTATGAAAGAAACACCAACATCAAGGCCCCATTTGATTTGTTCTTATTCCTCCCCAAAGTAGATAGTGGACTTCAGACCAGCAACATTAGTATCAGTGGAAATGTATTGGAAATGAAAATCTCAACGGATGCAATATTGAGGTTTAGACATCTTAAATAACTTTCCAAAATAATCAGGTAGAACTAGAACGCCACCCTCTTTACTCCATTATTCATAACAAAATACTGTTCTGTTCTGAAATAAATCAATTATCTCAGCAATTACAATATAGAGAGGTCTTTGCACAATAGTCACAAAAGGAATTCTAGCCCAAAGAGAAAATCTTCCCTGGAAACTCAAGATAAATTCCAAACATCACTGATTATTTAAAAAGATATTCCAGGACTATAGACAAGTATAAGGTTCATCAGAACTGGCTTAAACTGGTCAGTTAAATCCTTTGTCCATCCTAAGTGAGTATTCCAGCTAGAAGAGTCAGAGATAGAATAAATTAGGTTAGGGAGACTTAAGAGGGGGCTGGATCTGGTTTTTAAAGTAATTTCTTGTTTTGCACAATTTCATAGTAATGCTGTGTTCTAGATGTACACATTTTAACTATACTCAAACAACGTGTTTGTCACTGGAATAAATATTGGAATTACTTAAAGAGTCTCTAAAAAATTTCTGAGATCTATTCCAAAGATTCTCATACAGCCTGGAATTGGTACTGGGATTTTATGATCTCAGTAGATTCTAATGTATAGAAGTTTGCAAATCTTTGGCTTAAACGTTAGTCTATCTACTGAGCTTGTTAACACTTTTTTCCAGGACTTTTTCTATTCACACATATACAGTTATTATAGAGGGTTTCCAAATCTTGTTTATATAACTGACTTTTGATTTGCAATTTGATTATTTCTTCCTTTACTGTTCCAAAAATTTAGTCTCCTTATTTCAAAATTGTTTTTGGGTTTGGAGAAATAGCTTAATGGGTTGAAACACACAGTTTGCTGTCAAGAGGTCTGAATTTGATCCCTGGGACTCTATGGTCACAAGCATCACCAGGAGCACTGAGCCAGGAGTTACTCCTCATCACTACCAGGTGTGGTCCCCAAATTAAATATATCTATAACTATCTGTATACATATTTTCATATTGTCCAATTATTTCTATTTCTTAGAAAGTCAATTATCCTTTTGCTGATCCTACTTCTGTTTTGTTCATTATTTTTTGGTTTGTGGATCTTTTTGAAGAAAATTATTATTATTATTATTATTACTATTTTAGTTTGGGGGCCACATCCAGCTGTGCTCAGGGCATACTCCATCTCTCAGCTCAGAAGTCACTCCTGGCAGTGCTCAGGGGACTGTGTGTGATGTCGGGGATTGAACATGCAAAGCAAGCACGTTCTCTGCTGTTTTATCTCTCCAACCCCTGTGGATCTTTTAAAAAAGGTTTTCTTTGAGCCATAAAATTTAATATTCATATTATTCTAATTAGGCATTCCTTAAAATTATTTTATCTTCACTCTAGTCCTATTGTATTCTGTGGCTATCAATGTGCACATTCATTCCCCACTTCCCGAGTGTTAAATTAGATCTCATATTTTGTTTGTTGTAAAAGATATTGTATATTTTTTGGTCCAGGTATTATTGGGTATAACACAGCTTTTACTGAAAAGCTATTGTATAAAAGATATTGTATATTTTTGGTCCAGGTATTATTGGGTATAACACAGCTTTTACTGACACTCTGGGCTTCTAGAACGCTCAGGGCAGTGGTGTGTGTGCGTGCATGCCTGTGTGTGTGTATGTGTGTGTGTGCGTGTGTGTAAAGACAGCAACACAGAAATAGAGATGGAAAACTAGACTCCCACCTCTTCCATTTCTTTCAACTAGTGAGCATTTTGTCTTGTGTTCGCAAAGGAATTGAAAAGAAATTAAACCCAGTGGAAACTGCCTGCTTCCAATTGTGGTGTCTAGTAAATCTACAGATTCAGATAACTTTTATCTCTTAAGTGTATTCTGTTAAACTCTGTAGAAATATTTATCGTTTTTGCTCAGCATTTCCTAAAACTATACACTTTGAATACATGTACCTGCAATTGTGAGGATGGACAGAAAAGGAAACAGGTTGGGGAAAGAGGATCATTCAAATGCACCTGCCCCACTATTGTCACTCAAAAATAGGAACGACACACACCTGTAGAGTTGCTAAAAAGGGCTTGGTAGCCATACATAATGGGAAACTGAGCAAAAGGCAATTCATCTCAGGCCTGCACCCACTGAACTAAGAACTCTTCAGGATATGCCACACGAGACCTAATTCTACAGTAAGACATCTAACAGTCACCTTTGGTCCCAGAGGAGCATGGGGTATACTTTCATACATGAAAATGAGAAGTGTGTACACATAGTCCTAAGCAGGAAACTTGCCTGTGAAGCAGCGTTTCCTGGTTTCCATCAACCGCATTAACAATATCAATGTTTCCACAGTAGGAAGAAATCATCAGTTTCACGATCTCGGTTGCTCCCTGGGTGGCAGCAAAATGAAGGGCCGTACACTTGCCAGTCTGAAAAATGTTTTATATCAGAATCAATGTGTATGTCGTCCCATTTTCAGGATATGCTGAAATCCAACTTTGCGGGTTTTGTTTTTCTCTCCAGTCCCACAAAATCAAAGAATATAGGATTTAAGATAACGAATGGCATTCCTTTCATCTACTGAAAAGCACCAGTACAATTTTGCCTCCCTTACACTGACAGCTCTTGGCCATGTGACCTGCAGTATTATTATCTTCACTGTCATTGTACTTGTATACTTCTAATTGTACATAGCTCTCAAAAATTCTTTACATAAAAAAAAATTAAATTCTTTACGTATATTGAAATTTGAGATGTTATCTTATTCTATTTCTACTTAAACTTAGATTATTTGGAAATAATCTATATTTCCATCCAATTCGACTATACAAGAGCATTTTGGAAAAGAAACATGACAGTGCTAAATATGGCATAGTCTATGAACAATTACCTCCATCATGTCCAATTTTGCCCCATTGTCCAGACACATTTTAATCATTTCCAAATCACCACCCTGAACAGCCATGTGCAGAGGACTAGACTTCCCATTATTTACAAAATTAATATGACTTTGTCTTGGATAGCCATGTTCATCACCTTTAAAGGAAAATAAATTCAAGAAAACAAATAAAAATAAAAGTTTACTTCTATATTTACAAAAGTCCATTTATATATTCTATTAGATATTTATCAAATGAATAGCAACCACTAGAAAAGAACTCTTAATAGGTTATAATACAGGGATGGAGCGATAGCACAGCGGGTAGGGCATTTGCCTTGCACGCGGCCGACCCAGGTTCGATTCCCAGCATCCCCTAAGGTCCCCTAAGCACTGAGTGCATGAGCCAGGAGGAACCCCTGTGTATCACCAGGTGTGAATCAAAAAAATAGGTTATAATACTGAAATGAATCTACTCACCATACTTTAATATTATTTCCATGCACTTTTTGGCTCCTGAAAATGCAGCCTGGTGAATAGGAAAGCATCCCCATTTATTTGATTTACATGGTTTAGCTCCGTTATTTAACTAAAGGGGAAAAATAGAATTAACAAAGTCAAATGACACATATTAACTCCCAATCATAATAAAATTTATATGTTTCTGCCAGACGATTTCACCAGTCTCCAATTTTGTGAGCTATATAGCACATGAAGGGAAGCTGGTGCATGGCAATGAGTGTGGCATTGAAACACTCTATGCACGAAACTCTATTGTGAACGGTATTTTTTTTTGCTCATTTGTTTGTTTGTTTTGTGACCAGACCTGGCTTGGTGTTTACTCTGGTTTTTCGGGACCACTCATGGTAGGGCTTAGGGGACCATATGAAGTGCCAGGGATCAAACTCATGTTAGTCACATGCAAAGAAAGTATCCAACCTGCCGTAATATTGTTCCAGACCCAATACACTATTTATTATTTATTTGGCTTGAACCCATACCTGGCCATGCCCAGGGTTTATTCCTAGATCTGTTGTGAGGGATCATTCTTCATGGGGCTCAGGGGACTATATGAGATGTGGAAATTAAACTTGTAGGTCACATACAAGACAAGCTCCCTACTCACTGTGCTATTACCCCAGACCTTTCTCGCTCTGTAACAATCTGCATTTATGTTGTTTATTTGTATGTTAAACTGATCTACATATTTTTCTTTTGAGAAGGTCGTTACATGTTGAAATTAAAAGCAAATTAGATTTGTCTTATAATACTATTCTAGATGATTACTAATTCCTGGCACTTCATATGGTGAATTGAGTCAGGAGTGAACGCTAAGGGCAGAGCCAGGAGTAAGCCCTGAGCAACCAGGTGTGGTCCAATAACAAACCAAACAAAACAAAACACCGTGGGTTTTCTCTGACATCTAATAAATATGTTAGATGTCATTTATAAATTTAAATATTAGTCAGAAAGCTTTTTATTATTTTATTTCCTGACTCTCTGAAAGAGTAGAGAGGGAAGACAAAATATAGAACCCAGTGTAAGTAGCATATCAGTGATTGTTATTTGAAAAGAAGCTCTTTCCTGGAATTGTCATGCCACACTTGGAAGGTTAGAGAAGCAAGAATAGGTTACCCCGAAGGACCACTATAGAACAGTCATCTAGAAGAGAAGTGTTTTACCAACTCTCCCTCAGCGAACCTCAACAGAGACAATGCCAGTTCTACTTTTAGGGTTGATTAACAACTTAGTTATTATATCACAATATAGTTCCTTTTCTTTTAATACACCCCCCCACACAAACCCCTACACATACACACAAAAGCAGTTTCCTCTTGTCTTAAGAACATGAATAACTACTTTCTTTTTTTGTAAACCTTTCTAATTACTTTAATTTTAATCCAAATATCCACTAAAAGACAATATTTGCTTGCAGCAAGCTAATATCTTTTTTTTTTATTAGTGAAGCACCATGAGGTACAGTTGTAGATTTACAAATCTTTGTGCTTGGGTTTCAGTCATACAATGATCAAATACCCATCCCTCCACCAGTGCCCATTTCCCCCCACCCCCCCTCCCACCCTGCCTCTGTGGCAGGGCATTCCCCTTTGTGCAAGCTAATATCTTAAGCATAAAATTAAAGTACTATATTTTTCAGTTCTCAATAATTAAACTATCTTAGCATGAATCCTAATATTTCTTTGAGCAAATAATCCATTTGTATATTTGTTTTTAGTTATTTTTTAAATTTTTATTAGTGAAACACCATGAGGTACAATTGTAGACTTACAAATTTTTGTGCTTGGGTTTCAGTTATACAATGATCGAGTACCCATCCCTCCACCAGTGCCCATTCTCCACCACCACTAATCCCGGTATCCCTCCCACCCCCATCCCCCCATCCCACCATGCCTCTGTGGCAGTGAATTCCCTTTTGAAGAACATGAATAGTTACTTTCACTTGGATTTTATGTTGTGGGTCCAACAATAGGTCTTTAATTGGCTAAATTTATCTTTTTATAGCACAGCGGGTAGGGCGTTTGCCTTACACGCGGCCAACATGGCCGACCCCAGTTCGATTCCTCCGCCCCTCTCAGCGAGCCCGGCAAGCTACCGAGAGTATTCGATATGCCAGACACAGTAACAACAAAGTCTCCAATGGAGACGTTACTGGGCCCGCTCGAGCAAATCGACGATCAACGGGAGGGCCTTTACCTTTTTTTACCTTTATTTGATATTACAGAAGCTCAGAGTCAAAAGGATGTCCAGGGCTAGGGATATACGTTAGGCCCCAAGTTCAATTCCCAGTACTCAGTGGCACCCACAGCACTGCTATATGTAGCCACTGCACCATAGTGGCCTTGGGGTCTTCAGCACTTCCAGGTCTGAGTACCCAATCTTCAGGTCCAGACCAAAGGGGAGCAAGTCTTACCAGAACTGGCACCCCAGGTTCCATATACTTCTCTGGAATCCTTCCAACTTTTATTGGTACACAGGCTATACTATTTTGTATTTCTAGTCTCATATAATTTCTGAAAATCTTTGATCATTTGATAGTAGTTTGAGCATATAAAAAGTTAAAGCAGGGTTTTGTTTGATTTTTGCTTTGGGGCCATAACCGGCAGTGCTCTGGGCTTTCTCTTGGCTTTATCCTCAAAGATCACTCCTGGAAGGCTTGGAAACCTTATGGGGTTCCAGAGATCAAATCTGGGTCAGCTGCATACATGACAAATGCTATCTCTGATATACTATCACTTTGTTCCTTAATTTGTTTCTTATGACATATTTTATGTTTTAAAAGTTTGCTAATAAGAGAAACTGATAATTTTTGTAATAATAAAATGATAATAGTAATCACTGTTGTATAAATGAAATAATAAAGGAAACAAAAAATGAATAAAGTACCAACCAAAATCTGTAGGGCTTCACTATTATCTTTTGAGCATGCAATCAGCACAGACGTGTTGCCATTTTCTCCTTCCAAGTTAACATTAGTACCACTGTGTTCTGTCAGGACCTACACAAGGAAGGAACAATTGTCAAAAAGTTAAGCTGTAGGTTTCAAAATAAGGTACTAGTCTTCCACTATGGACAAATATGCCAGCTCTTGCATGCCAGTTATCATGTCTTTATGTCTATCTTCATTCTTCTCCCAAAGAACTTAGCACAACACCTTGCAGAATGTTATTTCAGTACTGAATCGTAAAAGTAGAGGTAGAATAAGGGCTAGCATGCATAGTGCAGTTAGATATTTCTCATTTGTAATCACTATATTAATTAAAATCTTCAAGAAGGCCAATTTTTCACTTGGAGTCACTTGAAATGGTAGGGGAAGAAGAGGGGAGAAGGGAGGAAGAAAACGTTTCCCCCTTCAGTCATTCTTCTACTATTGTGATTGCAAATAGTCTAGAAAAATGTCAACTCAAATGCCACCCTCATTAGTAAACAGAGAAAAAATTTTCTTGTAACACTGATATAGTTTAACTCAGAGGTTCTCAAACTTATTTGGCATATTGCCCTTATTTCATATAAAAAAGTTACTTAGAACCCTCTTGGAAATCTACCTTCTTTAAGTGAACAAACAGAAAGCGTCTCTGCCCCAAACTGCAACCAAGATTACTGCCCCCCCTCAACCTTCCAGTGACCCCCAAGGGGATTTGTCACCCACTTTGGGAAACACTGGCTTAACTAATTCAAATAGTCCAAACAGAATCATTTTTTATTAAGACATAAGCATATTTCTCATGGAAATTAAGTATTTAAATTAATTATAATTAATTAATCAATCAAAATAAATTAATTAAAAACCCATTTCCCCCTCACCTAGTTAACTTGTAACTGATGTTGGCTAAGAATCGATAGCTCTTTAAAATGTTCTTATTTTATGTTCAACCGAACAACAGTGATCTCAGATAAATGTCTCTATCAAAACAGAAATCTTTGAATATGTACTACAGGCCATTTTTTCTTACATCATTCTTTGGGAACTATTGTGATATATTATACATATTTGATCTCCATCCACATTCCTGACTCATACTTTCCCCCAAATTCTTGGAATTCCATAATTATAGAGATATGAAATGTGTCTTTTGCTATTTTAATTAGAGAAAGCTTGAGGAATCACCCAAAAGGTGATGGCAATATGATAGATGAGTAAGTCAAGTGACTACAGTTGCAACCTCTAGTTATTTCACCCCTTTGCCCTTAAGAAGCAGAGAGGATTTGGAGGCTGAGTTGAATTGCCAAAAGCCAATGAGTTCATCCATCATACTTATGTAAAGACACCTTCAGAGAAACTCCTGGAGCACTAGGGAGAGCTTCTGATTTGGTCAACACATCTATTGTGTTCTGAATGTCAATTGATTTATGATTGATTGATTTTTAGCATGTGGTTTTATAAAAATAATTTTGCTTCTCAGTGGAAAGTTTTAAAATGATGCCCACCCTATCTGCATTTAGGATGAATTTCCCCATTGTATGCTAAAAGAACAACAGTGCAGGAAATTAAGATACCATCATGTATGTGTGCCCCTGCATTGCTTGAGCATGAAGCAAAGTAATGATGAATTTGCAATAACATCCCATATTAATGCTTGTGAGACTGCCATTTGTTGCTGATGTTTATAGACACCCTTGCAGTGTGGACTCAACCTACTGATTCTCCCTTCATGGATTGCGTCAGTGTGTTTGGTTAAGCGAAAGAAACCTGGGAGAAAGGTATATCTGGAGAGGGGCTGGAACCTCAGTGTCTTCTGCTCATAACTTGCCCTACACATGTCTTTGATGTGGCTGATTCTGCACTGTATTCACTGAGTGGCCTTCCAAAGGAGTGTTTGGGGGAACTTGCATTGCTGGGTATCAAATTCCTGGGATCAAACATGGATCCTCTACATGCTAAGCATGGATATCTCTCAGCTGCTGAGGTATATTATTTGACACAAATTGGCAGTCTGGTGTGTGTGTGTGTGTGTGTGTGTGTGTGTGTGTGTGTGTGTGTATAGGACTTCTAAGCTCTGTATACTGTTTTAACAAATAATCAAATGAGGAAGACATTCTGATGACACTTGATTTCTAGCTAACTGGACAAAAGCACACATAGGACAGCTAAAATCTGAGGAGGAGTCTAGGAAATCCCCTGACTCTGCAGGTTGGTCAGAAGCCCAGGAGGGCAATATGGTTTCTGATGTGGGAGGAATTTGGGGAAACTGAGTCTGTTACTTATGGATACAGATATTTCTGGGTAGTTTCGGAATTGATTGGAGTTCTCAGCTACCTGCTCTATAAGCAGGGCTACAGGGCACAAATAAAGTACTACAGTAAAACTGCAATGTGTCTATAATGAACTTGTTTAAAAAGAATTTATTAAGTACTCTATTTCTTAAAATCTTAAGGTTTCTTTTTCAGAAAACACACAGCCTCTCACTCAAAACCTTTCAATATAGATTGTGCCCTAAGAAGCGAGACTCTTGACTAGATGACATCAAATTCATAACTAAACTCTTTAAATTTTGTCAACTGATGAAACTCTGGGTTCATCAAAATCTATAAGAAGAAATATTTTTATTTGCTCTCTAAAAATCACAGATTTATAGGCTAGGATTTATTGGGTGTTATTGCCACACTGCTACAGGTACTGTCTTTCAAGCAACTGTAATAAATTTTTTGTGGCAGCGGTCCCAGAGAGAACAACTACTTCAACTTCAGTAATGACTGGGCAAGTCTGGGAGGTCTGCAGATGAGGTCTCCAGAGATCTCTTTGCTAAGACTCTGGGAAGCCTCAAGGAGGGTCAAACCACTGGGTTCTTGGAGGTGAATCCCCAAGGACTAAAGCCTACACAGGACATTGAGACACAAAACAACTTCAGAACTCCCTGGGCAAGGCATGCAGATTCTCTGCACAAGACCTGGAACTGATTGTTTTTCTTTGCTGGTGTAGGGCACTATGGAAGTTTCCAGGGGAGGATGGAAATCACAGATGGAGAAGCACTGGAATTGTGTTTGTGTGTGTGAGAGAGAGACAGAGAGAGAGATAGTGAGAGAGAGAAAGAGAGAGAAAGAGAGAGAGAGAGAGTCAAGGGGAACAGGCAAGACAAGATTAGTCAACTGGTATGGGAGATCACAAGGAGCAGTGACAAAGGATGACTGATAACCTGGATGACTTTGGCCCTGTAGCATCCAGATACTGGGAAATAAATTATCAACTCAGCATCCTCTCTCTATTAATGGCCAGCATTCTTGGAACATAATGAATAAATGCTGACCCACCCATCTTTCTTCAAAGGGTATCTTAAAAGGGTATAAAAGAAGAAAAGCTTCTGCATTTCTCTGGAATCTTTCTTTAAGAGACCCCAACCATAATCTTGGAGATTCCCTGCATTCTTTTCCATTACCTTTCCCTAAATAAATTATTTTCTGAAGTCAGCTCGTTGCTCTCTGGTCCCTGGTTTTCCATCGTGACTGCTTTAGGATAACATGAGTCTGTGCCCATTATGACATGTGTACAGGTCTGACGCATGAGTGAAACTGACAAAGACAGGCTGGGAGGACTGTTGCTTGCCAGCAAGATGTTCCTTGTAGTTTCTTTACCTCTGGTGAAGCACAGGGATTTGAAAATACTTTTTAGAGAAGTTTCAGATGGTAAGAGTATGGCAAGGCAATATGCAACTCTTAGAACAGCATTTCTCAACTGAGGGCCGTAAGGTCCCCCCATTTGAACCTCCAGGATATTTCAAGGAAGGCCAAGGTGAAAATTGCATAAATGAGGGGTCATGGCACCAGAAAAGGAGACTCGCCAGTAGAAGAGCTCCAGGGAAGAAATAAGGTCAGATTAGGTCATAAGCTAAAGGTTGAGAAACACTGTCTTAGATATTATATCTTTTCTTACTCAATGATTTTATTCAAAATCATTGTGACACACTATACAATTTATAAAATAGATATGGACTTAGAGCTAATTTTTCTTTTCTATTTCTGTGTAATGTCTACTGTTCTGTTTGTGTTTGTCTCAAGAGTTTTGATTTCTAATTAACAATATCCTTTTCAACCATTACCTGCCTTTGAATTCCCAGACGAAGCTCTTAGAACCAAGATTAATTAAGTCAATGGGCATTTGTTTCTGAAAAAGCCTTCAGAGAAAGCTCAAGAGTTCCGTGGGGGGAAATATGTGAAATCCCTGTTGGGGGCTGGGAGTGGTATGACTGTGGTCACTAGTGGCCCAATTCAGATAACATAAAAGTAGTTATTAGCCCGTGAATAATGCAAACATGTATGAAGCAGCATATTTGCGAAGGTATCTTCGCAATAAACTTCCTCAAAGGGCTGCTTAAGACTCTTCTTAGGTGTTATTACCTAAGCACTCTCGTTCTCCTTCAGCCTGTGCCTTCATTTATACCTTCATTCGTTCAACAGCCATCATTTATCAAAAGTGCTATGACCTGGAGCTGGAGCGATAGCACAGCGGTAGGGCGTTTGCCTTGCGCACAGCCAGCCCAGTCAGGCCGGTTCAATTCCTCCGCCACTCTCTGAGATCCCGGCAAGCTACCAAGAGTATCTTGCCCTGCTCAGCAAAGCCTGGCAAGCTACCTGTGACGTATTTGATATGCCAAACACAGTAACAAGTCCCAAAATGGAGACGTTACTGGGCCCCCTCGAGCAAATCGATGAACAATGGAAGGACAGTGGACAGTGGCAGTGTTATAAACTGGAAATATTTAACTAACTTAAGCTGCCTTTCCTTCAAGGATCCCCAAGCAGGTAAGGTAAGGTAAGGTAAGGCCCTCCCGTTGATCGTCGATTTGCTCGAGCGGGCCCAGTAACGTCTCCATTAGAGACTTTATTGTTACTGTGTCTGGCATATCGAATACTCTCGGTAGCTTGCCGGGCTCTCCGAGAGGGGCGGAGGAATCGAACTCGGGTCGGCCATGTTGGCCGCTTGTAAGGCGAACGCCCTACCACTGTGCTATCGCTCCAGCCCAAGCAGGTAGAGAGGGAGAAAAGTACATGACATTTTATTACAATACTAGAGCCTAAGAATTATGGAAAGAGCTATTTATATATAAAGCTCAGTGTGAACAGGGAAAGGGGATTGTGCTCATGGCTTCTATGTCTGATAAATGAGTCAAAGACTTAAGAGACTGAAGGAAAAGTGTTTGGATTAAAGGGAACACAGATATCAAGGATGTATCTGAAATCTCTTTGTGGAATTACAGATAGCAGTTTGTTTTTGGTGCTTATGATACACTGAATGAGTGAGCAAAATTCCTGCCTTGGAAAAGTTAGTAAGACAAGAGCTGAACAAAATATTTCTCCAAAGAAAATATACAGATGGTCAATAGAAACATAAATAAGTGTTAAACGTCACTAATTAATTTTAAAAAATGCAAGTCAAAAGGACAATGAGTATCACATCACCTGTTGAAAAAATGTAAAGCTCAACACTGTAAGGATTACATTTTGTTTGCTCTGGAAGCTTTGGTTGATCAATGGATCAGACAGGAACAGTGAGACATGGACACGGACATAGGCATTGCAAGCCTTACCTTCACCACCTCATTGTGCAAGCCCTGGACAGCAAGGTGGAGAGGCGCCATCATGTTGCTGTTTCGGAGGTTTGGATTGGCACCTTTGCTAAGAAGAAACTTAACACTTTCCACCTGGTTTTTCCCTGCAGCCCAGTGCAGAGGGGTATTTCCATAATTGTCCATCATATTAACTGCTAAAAAGAGACATGAAAATATATGTGAGAGGGTGGATATATAATACAGGGGCTAAGGCTTTTGTCTTGCATGTGGCTGAATCCATTTCAATATCTGGCATTACAAAGGGTGATCACTGAAAGGAATAACCTCTGAGCACAGAGCCAGGAGTAGCCCCTAATTACCTCCATGTGTTCCTCAACCTCAGCACCACTCCCCCATCCCCCTGCAATATCCCCCCACCAACACACACCCAAACTATATATAAATATGTGCTAGGTTTTATTTGGAGTGTTTTTAATAATTAATGCCTGTCCATTTCAAAGCTCTATGTCAAGTGCTCCTGTAAAAGGTTTTATCTTCTTAGGGCTGGAGCGATAGCACAGCGGGTAAGGCGTTTGACTTGCACACAGCTGACCCGGGTTCAATCCCCAGCATCACATATGGTCCCCTGAGCACCGCCAGGAGTAATTCCTGAGTGCAGAGCCAGGAGTAATCCCTGTGCATCGCCAGGTGTGACCCAAAAAGAAAAAAAAAAGGTTTTATCTTCTTTACAGAAAATTTAATTCTTTAATTCTCAAACATCTAAGAGGCACTTGTGGGAGATGCACAGACTTTGTCAAGTGATGGGCTGTCTACTTAAGAACATCTCTCAGAGATAAAACCTCTGTTGACACAGGTTTCTGTCCCTGGTATAAATTTGGGAATTATTATTTAATATTGAGATTACATACAAAATCAATCACTATTTTCCAGGGACTGTATAAAGTTCCAAACAATCGTTATTTCAATCAACCAACCAATAGCCTACCATGAACCATAATCTTTTACCTCAAAGTTCAAGGAGACTACTTTAGAGGCATTCAATTTTTTGTTTACTTGTCAACTGATTCTTCTAATACATCCATCACAATAATGTTTCTCTTGACTCATAATCATATAATGTTCATTGATCTTCTGTAAATCTTTCTCTCTATCCTCGTTTTGCTGGTGTTTCCTCTCTATCTCTACCTTAATGTCAGTACTCTATACTCAGCTATTTCTGTTGGCAATTTTATGAACTTCTCAAGAACTTTTATGAATTTTTATAACCTCAGTTATTGCTCATGAAACATTCTTATAAGGTGGATTCTTTCCTTTTTATTTTTATTTGTACACTGGATTATTTTTAAGAGGATGGCCCTTGAGCTTTTAAACTCAGAAAAAACAAATTCATAACAGCCTTAAACCCTTATATTAACTATTCTTCTGTTTTTTTATGACTCTAATATTTTCCTCATCTCTTAGTTAGGGATTTCAATGTTAGTTCATTTTTTCCAGTTATTCTTCACATGAAGTATTTTATCAAGTATCGTCAGTGCTACATGCAACATAACTTTTGGATTTCTCTTTTTTTCTTATTCTAACCTCAAAAACCTGGTGCACTCTTCCCTTTATTACAAAAATAATTTTTTGAAAGACTTCCAGTTCCAATCCACTTTCCACAATATCATCAGTATTTACTTAAAAATATTTTATTAGACAATATCACTGCTTAAAATTCTGTAGCATTCACATTCTAGTGTTTTAAAATTTTTTTTTGCTACAGCTGAAGTTCTCAAACATGGCGACACATACAAAGCTGAGGTTAGAAAGAGTGTTGCCTTTAATCAAAGAGGTATAAGTATAGAATGACTTAAGTGGAAGGTGAATTTAATTTTTATGATTTTTCTAAAAATTCAAATAAAACCTCAACTTCCTGAAGTGGGTCCCAGCTATCTTCATTAGCTTTGTAGTATTTCCATCAGAAAACATGAGAAGCACTCTGGGAAGATTCATATGCCAACATCAGATATACAGGCTCTATATAATCTGGAACTGATGTGTCCTTTGGAATAATTTCAAACTACTCTTTCCAGTGAAACTAATGAGATAATAGATTATTTATTTTAAAAGCACTTTTTTGCGACATGTCCTTACTTTCACAAGATGAGTCATTGATGATCATTTCCATTAGTTGAATTTGACCTTCTTCTGCAGCATAATGCAAAGGGGGAGCATTTTCATCTTCGTATTTGCAACATTTTCTTCGTCTCTTCATAAAGTTTTGTAATGGACATGCACTTCCTTCAAAGACCACCTATAGGTGTATGAAAAATTGTACCACAAACAAATACAAGCAAAACTTAACAGTATAAATTAATAGTCTAGAGGTTGTTGTCATTCACAACTATTTGTTCTGCTTATCATAGGGTAACATGGAAACATGTAGGAAAAAGGAAGGTGCACAAAATACCTAAACACTGATAAGTACAATAAGAGACTGAATCTTTTGATGAGAAATTTTTATACGTAGAAAAAGTAAAGGCATCGAGAGAAATTTTGAAGTGAATGAAAGGAAAGAGATATGAAAATAGTAAGTACAGTAAAAATAGAGTCATTCTCTTTTTCAGGTAAAAATGTACCTGGAAGACGGCTTAGATGTTTTTAGCTGTACAAATGGATGTTTCGTAAAGGTAACAATCAAATTTAACAATTTAAATTACTGGTTTCTTTTTGGCCTTCATGCTTATAGTAGAAGTCTCAACCACGGTTTTCTTAGATTCCAAAGCTAGAACTACATAGAAACATTTTCATGTTTTTTAGTCTTTGTCATTCAGTATTCTAGAATGACTGCACATTCACTTCTGAGAGCGAACAAGAACTTCCTACTAAGGGGGTTCTTAGCAAGTCAGTTTGGATTTATCTCTTCTCTGCATGCAAGATACTTAGGGCCAGATATCAGGATACTGAGAGCTCATATCACTTGGTCAAAGACACTAAGTACATGGCAAAGGGAAATTTTGAAAGAGGGTAAACTACATTTTTTGATTGAACAAAACATGGTAAATATCAACTTAAAGTGAAAACTGAAGCTAAGGTCAAAGTCTGTAGCACGGTAGCTCTGTCCTCCCATTGTTCATCGATTTGCTCAAGCGGGCCCAGTAATGTCTCCATTGTGAGACTTGTTGTTACTGTGTTTAGCATATCGAATATGTCACTGGTAGTTTGCCAGGCTTTGCCTTGAGAGCAAGATACTCTTGTAGCTTGCCAGGCTCTGATTTTGATGGTTCAATATCAGGTCAAAGTCATCGCTAATATAATGAGCTGTAGTGGATATCATAAAGGGTAAGATATCATAAAGGGTAAGACTGGACTTCATAGGTTAGGTTCAGTGTACTTCTGGCATTTTTGGCTAATGCTGTCATTAGCCCATAAGTGTGTAATTCCAAGCAGATACTAAGTTCCACAAAGGTCTGGGAATGGAGCAAAAAGCTTTTTAAAATATCCAGTTTTTTCTTCATACCCTTTATATCTTTATTATGTTAATTAATATGATTTATAATGGAATAAACTGTATCCTTCTTGTGAAATTTTAATGTGACTGGGTTGATATAGTTTTTTTAGTGTGTGTGTGTGTGTGTGTGTGTGTGTGTGTGTGTGCACACGGAGGTAGGGTGATGGTTCAAAATCAAGGCCTATCTCGTGCCAGGAATGTACTCTACTACTGAGCCACATCACTGACTGACACTCGGCTTTGGATTTATTTTCACAAGATACTACAAAATATCTCAAGTAGAATGTTTTCTTTAAAAGTTAAAAAAATATAACTTACTAAAAGTTAAGTAATTCAAATATTAGTGTTACTGTAGCAAGCAAAATTTTACAAGAACCTCTTGTCATAAATTTGCTTTTATTCTCCTGTCTTTCAATATTAATGACAAAATTCAGCTGCAAACACTTCGATAAATGCAGGTTTTGACCAGGTGCATTCAACCATTTGTAAATGTATTCAGTATTAAATTTAAAATGAGGTCTTTACAGAAATAAGTTATGACCTTATCAAGTGAAGTGTTTACCTAAATCCATTTGGAAGTGTTTTAACACTAGAATTTGATATATTCAATGATAATAAAGACATTACTAATTACCATTCCATAGTGCCAGGAAGAACAAAGTATAGGTTGGTTCAATGATAAGACTATCCACACAAACCCAATCATACACTCTTGAAATCAAGTTTGAGGTAAAGTTGCTCATTATAGCTAAATCCACAACGACTACGGAGAGTGCAAACGCTTGGTACCAGCCCCTGAGATATAACAAGGCTCTTGAATTCAGTAAAATGTTGACTCAGTTCTTTAAAGAACTTCGGAGATTTCTAAAAGTGAGCCAAGGGTATCATTTAGACACATGACTGTATGTTCACCCAGTGAAATTCTTGCCTCTCAGGGCACCACTGAAGATTCTTTTTGATTCAGACTCTAATTATGACCAGATAGAGAATGATGAGTCCAGAGCTGCTGGTTTGATCTCCACGGCACTGCCCTCTGCAGCCTTGTGAGAGCTGCATTCCAGCACCAACTCCCACTAATTCTCACCCAGATTCAGCTTTCTCTTGGTCCCTTCCTGTCTAGTCAGGCCAAAGTTCTGCTCCCTTTTTTAGGCCATTTTGTTCTTACAGCTGTGTCCATTAGTGAGAGCCCAGAGGTTGAGAGGCGTTGGCATGTCCTAGCAGAGGGAGATGAGTGGGAGAAGTGACTGTTGGGATGGGTACTTTGTAACTTCTGATGTAAGTGAAAGATCCAGAAAATTATCATCAAATCTGTGTCAGGTTATTTTTCTAAGCATTTCCAAACAAATGAACCTCTTAATGTGTTTTTTAATCCACATTCACAGGATGCATTTTTTTTCTGAAACTAAATTATATACTAACTTTGAAAAAAATGGGACCTGTAAAAAAGCTACAAGAGAGATATCAAACATATTTATTTAAGTTACTTTGTTTAAATACATTAAACAGTACTGGGGCACAAAAGAGGGAAATGAAAGTGAGATATTACAACAAATAAAAGGTCAAATGTTAAAGTATTAACTTTCTTAAAATAAAGTCGTAAGAAAAGGCAACAGGCATCACACAGAGCTTTTTCTCTACATTTATCATTTTACCTCCTCTGACTGAGGATACGTGTGTGTGCGCTTGAGCGCGTGCATGTTTGTATGTGTACATCAAACATTTTCAATCAGAAAGTCTTTAGAGCCCAGAGCTCTGCAGTGATTATCTGTTGACTATAATTAGTCTCCCCTCTGAGATTTCCACAGAAATTATCTGGAATTTCTGCAGCTAAAAACGTTATACATATATATCATATAAATATACAAATCCCTTCACCTTTCAGTTCTGCTGCAGCTTCTAAAGACTTACACAGCAAAAATAGTAGTACTAGTTAGTCACTATAAGTAAAGAGAATTGTGCAAAAATATCAGGAAAAATAAATGAGATTTCTTACTACAGAAATGCCTCATCAGTAGGGACGGGTGTTGGAACATTGTAGGACCTAAACCCAATCTTGAAAAATTTTGTAACTATGTTTCATGGTGATTCAATTTAAAAAAAAATAAAGCTCGCCACACTTGTAGAAAACAAAACATATCAGTAACTAGAAGACATAATGTTCTGGTTGATTTTCAAGATTAAACACTTTTTTCATACTTTGATATTAAAAAGTACACTCATGACTTCAATTTCCTGGGTTAAGTCAAAAGACCATGATTAACACACCCATATTAAGGAGAGGAAAAATCTTGATTCAACATGGATGTGCATGCCTCTTGGAAGTGTCTAGGAAGGTCTGGTTTGTTGGTTTGTGTTATTCTCTGCACAAGCATTGTTCATACAAGTGACCTATTAACTTTCAATTCATAAAATTGTAAATTGGAAAGGAATTGTGAATAAAAGGGAAGAAATTATGAATGAAAAGAAATTTGTAGTCACATCTATCCAAATTAAAATCCACATACCTCTTGATTCTGCTAGGGATGAGTTTTAACAATCAGAAATACCCACTAAAGTACCAAAAACCTAAAAACAGTAAAGCTACATCTACACTCACAGACAATTGTGAGTGTAACAATAAAACTCAATGAAAGTGAATATATCCTAAATGCCTATCAGAAGCAGAACAGGATAAATAAGTCAGAATTCACGTCTATACGAGAACGCCAAATATATGCTCCAACGACTGCAGTAGAATGCCAGGTGCTAATTTGAAAAGCTTCCTAACCCATACTCGAGATTAAATCACAGTGTAAATCTCTATGGCATCATACATCTGTAAATAAAAATGATCGATGAGCATTCACATGTTTGCACAAGGATTTTTCCTCTGGAAAAATACGTAAAGAAGTCCTCATCTGTGGAAAGGGATCTGTAGTGGGAGTTTGGAAGGCAGAATTAAAAAAAAAAATTTGAACATTGAAAAAAAATACCATCTTCCTCAATCTCAAGAATTTAGAGCTCTGTCCCCTGCGAACCTGGCTGTGTCTGGCTCTGGCTGCGCCATCAGGCGGTAGCGGCAGGTAGTGCTGCCTTTTGGCCAGAAGGTCCCAGGTACTGCTCGAAAAACGGAGTGAGACCTTAGCACAGCCCTTAGCAACCCAGACACCACCTAACCATCATCAAAGGTTATGCCTTATTACTCACCATTTATCCTATCGCCTTGACTCCCTGGACAAATTCTTCAGTCCAGGGAGTTGTTGTAACAGGCTAAAACAGTTACCTGGGGTGATTTCTTCTCCCAAGGTCTTCCAAGAACCTGGGTACCCGTCCCACTCCCAAAGTCATTAAGCTATTGGCTTCTAAATAAAATCTACCAAAAGAGCCAGCGCAACACCGTATATTGCCAACAGCCCTGATTTTCGGCACGCAAGCGGTCCTGCCAATTGCCCAAGGCACTTGTTTGAATGGCTTTCCCCGACCCATCACGGGGGGGCAACGCAGCCTGTGTGTGTCTGTAGGGGGCAAGAATCCCCACACCCCGAGATGCGCGCACGGTCCTCTAAGGCAGCAGCCAGCCGTCCCCTCGGAGAGGCTTCACATCCTCGCGTCCCGGGGCTGTGCGCCGGGCGGACCAGGAGGAGAAAAGGGATGCAGAGCCGACCTCCCCCCCACCCCCACCCCCACATTTACGAGCCCTTCCCGCCCGCGCCCATCGCCCCCGGGTACCTTCAGGGAGTCCTTGCAGTCGTCCATGTCGTCCTCCACGCCCTGGTAGTCAACGCTCTGGGACTCCTTCTTGTCCCCGGGGCGTAGCATCTTCCTGAGGCTGCGCCTCATTGACCCCACCCCGGACGCCACCTGCCACAGCGGCTCCCCGCGTGCGTAGATACCTGGGACGAGAGAGCGCGGGGCGCTGGGATGCGGGGTCCAGGCAGCAGCCCAGCCCCTGCGCCTGCGGTCCCCAGAGCTCGCTGCGCGCTTCCTGGGAAAGTGGGGAGAACTTCTAGAAGGAGTGGTCTGGCCCAGGGCTACTTGTAGCGCTGCAAGCAGGAGGGGCGCGCGGAGGAGGCGGCGGGCACGCAGAACTCGTGTCCCCGCGGGCGGGGGTGGTGCCTGCTGACCTTTTCACGGAGGAGCCGGGACCCGTCCCCGGCAGTCACTACACAACCTGGACCCAGGTTATATTTGTCTGCGTGCAGCGAGTATGGAATCTTTTATATGAAAAATCCTAAGAGGTCAGTCTCCTGACTGATCCCCAGGAGGGAGGGGCATAAAGGGGAGGAGGTGAAGGGAGTGAAGGCAGGAGGATGGGAAGGGGGAGATGCAGAGTAGGTTGCCATGATTTTAAAGTTTTTTCACACTTTTTTCCCCCCAGCTTAAAACCGCTGGATCTGGAATTGCCATGTCTGTTTTAAAAGTCTCTTTAATTTGGATTTTTTTTTTTAATAGGGAAAACAGTCTCTTTCCAGAAAAACAAGGGAACACGGCATGCTTAAAGTCCTAGTGCGGGTTTGACAACTAGACCAAGGTCCTGCCCCATTTGCAGTGCATATACGCACTGATCAATCCCCAACGTGATTTGAAATTTCAGTGACCTATAGAATGAGGACTAGGTTAAAGTAAAATCCTACGGACTCGTGTCTGCTTGGTTACGTTAGCATCTTCATGGGCCAGTACTGCATTTATTGGTCAGCAGCGTAGGTGTTACGTTCTGGAACACTCTATTGGAAAAGCCAAAACTGCCTTCACCAGTCTCAAAGTTGTTGCCACTGAGGACACTTTTTACAGGAGAGAGCTCAGCATTGTCTGTCTGTCTATTGAACAATCTCTGTGCAGTTGTCTTTTTGTTTTCTTCAAGCACCTGATCCTAGGACGTGACAGTAAGCGGGCACATAGTAAAAATTTGTGAATCGGCCACTTGAGACTCAAACTGGAATCTAAACGATGAAGAGTGAGGATGAGGATACTGAGAACTATGGGAATACACCTCCAAAGTCTTCCAGTACATAAGGCCGGTAGCTCTGAATGCCTCCCCTAGACAAGAATTCCCCAGAAGGACAATAGAGAAATTGCCATCAGTTGTCAACCCCTACCTGTGACTTGCTGAAAGCCAGATGAAGTACACTCCCTCCAGCCACTGTCTCCACTGTTTTATCATCAGCAGTTGTATTCAAGGACTACAGGACAGGGGTCAGCTGCATGCCTTGTAGGTATTTTGTTAAAGTAGGCAGTATATTTGGGGGGGGGGGGGGGAGAAAGAAATCCAAAGAATGGGGAAAGAGGGTCTCTTTAAGTCATTGCTGTTGACCTGGCATTTTACGTGTATTAGGGCCTCGTTTTGCAAGGGACATGCCTCACAGAAAAGTTAAGACATTTTCTTTGGTTTTTCTATTGTTGTTGATTATTTATATCAATTCCTTTTCTTTTAACACTTAGCTGAAAAGTTTCACTAATAACAACAATAAGGAAACGGGCTGAAAGGGGTCGCTTAGCAAAGGGCAAAGGGCAGGCCAGGCAGCAAGAACAAGGTTGGCAGTGTGACCTGGGAAGAGAAATCTGGGGCTCAGGGAATTTCAGCATTAGAGAAGGTTCTGGAGGAGGATCACATAAGGTCACAGTCCCTCGTTGTAATGTTCCCTGGCTTCAGCTATCCTCAGAGGGTCTCTGTAGAATGGTATTTTAGATCATCTTTTTCCAGGAACCATTTCTTTCTCTCCTTTTTCTTTTTATTTCTCTGCATCCATTTTCATTGCTCTAATCACATAATCCTGTTTTGTTTGTCCTCTCCTAACTTAACACTGAAAAATATGCATGGCTGGAATCACAGGTCTGACTGCCCCCACCACTCCATGTTATGAAAGCAGAGTGTTATTTAAATATTATTTAAATAATTCTTTAATCTTTCTGGACTTTCAAGCATTTTTCAAATAGTATGAGACGGTACTGGTGTCCGCTCGAGCAAATTGATGAACAACGGGAGGACAGTGCTACAGTGCTAGTGCTATTTCCATAAAGCTTCACAGGAATTCCCATCAGTATTTCAGATACACAGTTACATCCTTTTCTTATGTGTCAATAACATCCTTTTCATAGGGAGTTTCCTTTTTTAAAGTTACTGCAAATCCTGGTTTTACAATGCATGATGTAGATGGGAGCTGGATCATAGGCTCTGTGCTTAGGGATCACTCTTGGCAGTGCTCAGGGACCGTGTGTCGTGCTGGGAAACCTGATTCAGTTACGTGCAAGGCAAATGCCTCAGCTCTATGCCTGCACTATCTCTATAGCCTTTATTTAGCCATTTATAATCACGATCTTACTTCCTCCTAAATTGAATTTTTGAAAGATGAAAATAAAATACTGTATAGTATACCAATATTAAACTCAGTAATAGAAATCATTATTAGAAAAAAAACTTTTATAAAAATACCAGAAGATGATTATTAAATTATTTTTGATACTACACAGGAATTTCAGAAAAAGAGTAAGACTCTTATTTGAATGCTCATAGAGAATATAATTACATTTATGTATCAATTCAGTAACATTTTATAACAAATATGATTTATTAAACATTCATTTTTCTTTTGAAATATGTTTCTGTTTGTTGCAAACTTAATCACAAATGTTTAAAAATCATTAATAGGCCCTCCCGTTGATCGTCGATTTGCTTGAGCGGGCCCAGTAACGTCTCCATTGGAGACTTTGTTGTTACTGTGTCTGGCATATCGAATACTCTCGGTAGCTTGCCGGGCTCTCCGAGAGGGGCGGAGGAATCGAACTCGGGTCGGCCATGTTGGCTGCTTGTAAGGCGAACGCCCTACCCGCTGTGCTATCGCTCCAGCCCAAAAATCATTAATACAGATATTAAATATAACTATAACTGAAAGTAAAAGTTTGGTTACCTAACATGTTTTATGTCAATAGTATATAAAGGCACACAAAGAACCCACTAAGGGACAGAGAATTTGTGCTACATCCTTTTAAAATACCACAAAATTTATGCTTTGTAAGCATGCCATGTCATCGCTCTTAAACTTTAAAAAAATACCACGAATACCACATTTACACACTTTATAACTATCATCAAAATTTTGAAAATACTTTCATAGTTCCTAAATCGATTCCTCTTCTATCCCCAAAACTAAGAAACTATGATTTGTTTTATGTTGGTATAATTTTTCCTATTTTTTTAAAGAAATTTTAGATACACTGAGTCATGTACTATATAATCTTTAGTATCTGTCTTTTTTTTATATAATTTATTTATTTATTGAATCACTGTGGGAAAAGTTACAAAGCTTTCAGGTTTAGGTCTCGGTCATGCAAATATCAAACACATTTTCCTTTACCAATACTTATTTTTCACCACGAAGGACCCCAGTAAACCCCCACCCCCCACCCCTCCCAATGCCTGTGAGGCAGATGAATTCTAGTTAACACTCTATCTACTTTGACTAGATTCATTGTTTCGATAAAATATGCACCATTATTATTTAGAGTTTACCCCCCCCCCCCAAATCAGACATGCTGAAAAAGCATTGAGAAATGATTTGCTTTCTGCAGCTGGGTTCAAGAATTAAATGATGTCGCACGGCTGCTATTGCAGCCGCGCGGTTTTGGATTTCTGCTATTTTACTTATTAGCCCTGGAAGTATTTCTACTGAGGTAAAGGTAAAGGCCCTCCCGTTGATCGTGGATTTGCTCCAGCGGGCCCAGTAACATCTCCATTGGAGACTTTGTTGTTACTGTGTCTGGCATATCAAATACTCTCGGTAGCTTGCTGGGCTCTCCGAGAGGGGCGGAGGAATCGAACTCGGGTCGGCCATGTTGGCCGCGTGTAAGGCGAACGCCCTACCCACTGTGCTATCGCCGCGTGTAAGGCGAACGCCCTACCCACTGTGCTATCGCTACTGAGAGTCAGATAATTAAGAGATTGGTGTCTGTGCTCTGGAGCCATGGCCGTCCCGGAGAGCTGCTCATGGGGGGCAACTGGTGACCTCGGTAGGGCATAAAGGACAAGCCCGGAGCGCCCCCCTTCCCATGAGGTTTCAGTCGCCCCATCACCACCGGCTCATACCTGGCTTTCCACAAGGCTCCCAAGTGGCTGCCATCTTTCTTTCCAGAGGGCTAGTATCCGTCTTCTTTTGCTCAGCGTAATACATAATAAATTAACCCACTTTATATATCAGTAATTTCTTTTTACTGCTGTTTAGTGCTGTTCTATTATTAGCATTATACTAGTCTTAGTGTAATTAATACTACTATCTTATATGGAGCGATAGCACAGCGGGTAGGGCATTAGCCTTACACGTGGCCAACATGGCCGAACCGAGTTCGATTCCTCCGCCCCTCTCGGAGAGCCCGGCAAGCTACCGAGAGTATTCGATATGCCAGACACAGTAACAACAAAAGTCTCCAATGGAGACGTTACTGGGCCCGCTCGAGCAAATCGACGATCAACGGGAGGGCCTTTACCTTTACCATGGTATTTTTATATTAGTAATACACTGTTAAACTAGTATTAGTGCAATTTGCAGTGCTTGGGTAGAACTCAAGGTCTCACATACACAAGGCAAATACGGCTGAGTGCCATCACCCAGCCCTATTCCAACTTTTTTTACTTACTCTGATGGATATATGCTGTTTTATTTCTAAGTTACATCATATTTCCCCAGTTTATTTCTCATTGATTTCCAATTCAATCTAGTTGTGGTCAGATAGCATATTATGCACAATTTCAATTCATCTAACTTTAAATATAAAATTATTAAAATTAGCACAGCGGTAGGGCGTTTGCCTTGCATGCAGCCAATATGGCCGACCCGAGTTCAATTCCT